GAGAAGTCCCATAGAATAGCAGCTTTCAGGACAAGCTGACCTGGGATTGGGTTCACAAGTCTGGGTGCTGTTTCCAATTCCTTCAGTCTCCTCTTCCCCATGAGTTGGTTTCCTCTTCACGTTGGCTTCCTTCATGGAGGTAAAATGGCAAGAGCGGTCTGGCCTAGTGTCCACATATCACATTACTTAGAAGACAGGACCTTTCTAACCAAGCACAAGCCCTAAGCAAAAGTCCTGAGCCTCACTACAACTGGACTAGCTTGAGACACGTGCCTAGCACCAGTTGGAGTGGCCAGAAGGCGGCCATACATTGACAGGTGGAGGCCCCTCAACCAATCATAGTGGTTGAGGAGAAGAGTTATGCCAGTAGTTTTAGAACAGTGGTTCTCAAAGTGTGTTCCCTGACCAGGGGCATCAACATCACCTGGAACTTGTTAAAAATGCAAACTCTCAGGCCTTACCCCAGACCTACTGAATCAGAAACTCTGGGGGTGGGGTCCAGCAATCTGTGCTTTAACAAGCTTTCCAGGTGATTCTGATAGAAGCTAAAATGTAAGACGACTAATTTACACCATCAGGTCTTCCCTATGGAGCCTAGAAGGGGGTGGATCCTATTCATTCCTCTGAGCTGTCACACAATTAGAAAATGAAGGAATGGAGGCCTGGGAGGTTACCATCAAAATGCTCCAGAGGGGGACAGCTCATTTCACGTCTCACTTTTCTATGCTGAGGCTGTTGGGTAGAACACACAATGATCAGTGCAACTCGCAAGCGGTTTGCAGATTACTTCTGATGCCCCTACTTATTAGCCTAAATCAGGCGTCCTCAAACTACAGGCCACATGCGGCCCACTGAGGACATTTATTTATCCCCCCAGCCGGGTGCCTGTCCTGCTTAGCAGCCGACTGGTCCCCGGCCCACAGTGCACATGTGTGGAATGTGTGCTGCACTCTCCAACAGCCCTCCAGCGGTCTGAGGGACAGTGAATTGGCCCCTGTTTAAAAAGTTTGAGGACCCTTGCTCTAAATAATAAATTTTCTTTCAGAAAGAAGAAAATAGCAAGCATCAACCTTAGCATTTTCTAGGGGCCCTAACCCACTCCCTTAGGAGAAATTGGATAAACACATTTACATACATTTGACAGAAGAAAAACAGCTTCGCAATTAACACCTCCTTGAAGAAGGCATTCTCCAAAACAGTTTCTTAATCATAACTGATCTTGATAATCAACTGAAATAGGATTACATGCACAGATTCCTGGGCTCTACCCTAGACCTACTGCATCAGGATCCCCAAGGGAGGGTCCTGGGAATCTGTACTTTCAGCAGACATCGCCAGCGACTCATGTAGATTATGCATGTTTGGAAAACACTGTTCAAAGAGAGAAAGCCAAAGGACTGAGGAGAGAAATCTCACGAAAGAATTATATGAAAGTTTCTGGCTATGGAATTAGTAGCTTCTCTCCTTTCTTTAATGTACTCCCTCACTACCACGGCGTCTAACTAATTTTTTCTTTCTGTAGTCTTAGTCTACCCCACCCCCTCCCAAATAAGCCACTTTTCATACCATTGTCAGAATGATCTTTCTAAAAGAAACTGAATGTCAGGCCTCAGATCAAAATCTGTCACAAGTGCTCGCCATGGTTCATAGGACAAAATCCAAAGCAGTGTTAGCATGACAGCCAAGGCTCCACTTAACCAAGTCCTTGCCTGTCTATTTTTATTCTTTAGTTTGATTTTTTTCCTTACTTCATTCAAATTTTATTTGATTTTTTTTTAAAACACCCGCAAAGTGCATAGCACTGTGCTGGCCACTGGAGATACAGTGATCAAATGCAAATGTACCACAGTTTATTTAATGGTCTTCTATTGTTCAACATTCACATTTTCCTAAATATTTTGTTATAATTAACATGTATGTAGTTAGGTCTTTGCAAGCATTCAAGATTATTTTCTGAGGAAGTGAAACCGTGAGTGAAAGAGTAAAATTGTAAAAGGCGTTGACATATTTTGGCAAATGACCTCCAGACAGTTACAAAATAATTTTGCAATTGTTTGGTTATTTGAAAATTTGATAACTTGTGTTTTTTTTTTTTATTTGTCAGGCAAATTATTGATAAAAATGTTGAGCAAGAGAGGATCGGTGAAATGATTTTGGAGTAAGCTAGTAGATCATTCTTCCCCAAATTATATTAGTTCATCAATCTACATGTTGTAGGGACACCTGCCTTTCTTCTTCAGCCTTCCTTCCCACCATTAGTTCACCTGAATCCCACCTTTGAACCATCCTGAACCCTTTGCGATGCCTTGAACACATGCCACTCCTTTGCCTCTGTTCACCATGGTCCCCCTGCCCTCTTCACCCGGTGTATCAATCAGGTTAATACCAGGTTATGCTGAGGTAACAAAACCTCAGTAGATGAAGACAACAGAGATTTATTTCTCATTTGCTTAAGTCAGGGGTTGGCAAGTTTTTTCTTAAAAGGGCCAGATGGTAAATATTTTAGCCTTTGTGAGCAGCGTCTAGCCTCTGTTGCATGATCCCTTCTTTGTATTTTATATATAACCCTTTAAAAATAGAAAAATCATTCCTATTTGCAGGTTACTGGCTAGATTTGGCCTGTGGACCATAGTTTGTTATCTCTACTCTACTGGACTGTTGCCAGAGACATGTAGGCAGCAGGGAACTACTCAGACGAACAGCTCTGAAAGAATCTAGTCATTCAGAGACCTGGGCTGATGAAGCAGCCACCTCTCAAACATTTCTTGTCACCATGCACACAAAAAAGAGAGGGTCTCACACTTGCAATTAAATACTTCAGTCTGGAAGTGGCACCCTGTATCTTAGGCTCACAAACAATTAGCCAAGGTTAGTCTTTCAACCCCACCCAACGATAAGGGGGCCAGGAAGTGCAATCCTACCATAGGCCCAGAAGAAGGAAGAATTCAGATTAGTTGGTAAAAGTGATGTGTACTCAGCTCTGACACAAACTCTCTGGCAAGCCATTGCTGATACCCTTATCTCATAGCCAAATTAGCTGCTCCTTGTCTATAATCTTACAGCATCTTGGGCAACTTTTGATCAGTGCTGTATATGGGGTACTGTAATTGCCCACTTATCTGTCCCCGCCACCAGAGGCTGGGCTTCCTCGGCTCTACGTGCCTACCACCTTGCACAATGCCTGCTACCCAGAGATGCTCAACGAGTGTCGCTTCAACACATACATGAATGTAGTGGGCTGTGGGAGCGAATGAGACCATGTATGCCTTTACCTGAAGGCATCTGGGATCCAGTTGTGTCAACCTCTCTGAGCCCAGTTAATTCAGCCACATCGATATCCACTTATGATCAATGAATCTTTTTAGCTATTGGTTACTTTCTATCTTAATCAAATATACTCTTCCTTTTGATCTGTTTCTTCTAATAATCAACACGTTGCAGAGAGCTAGCTAGTCCTTGAGGCCACAGAGCAATCTGACATTACATAGGTTGGTTTTGTGTTTATTGTATAGGTCAGAAGGCAGGCACAGAGAGGCACAGTGATTTTTCCCAAGTTAACAGCCAATCAGAGGTGGAACCAAAAGTTATGCTTCCTTCAGATTCAACAAAAAAACTACAGGATTGAACACTGAGCTGCAGCTAAGTTCACTAACAATTTAAATCCTTTGGAGGAGAAACAGAAATCACAACACATGTTTGCCAAAGATAAGTCTTATTATACCGTATCAATGTTTAGCTTGTAGTGTACATTTATCTCTGAGTAAAATATTAAAATCTAGCCACATAGCTGTTTATTGCTGCTATACCTTTACATACTAATTCCATCCATCCCCTTTCTTCTTCTGTAAAATGACACAGCTCATCAGATGGACTTTCAGAACCCCAAGAACATTGATGATCGTGCATCTTTTACCATCACCTCTCAATGACTATTAGATGACTAACACCGGCATGCATCTTCACTACTAAGTGTCATAAAAGAAATTGCAGTTGTTTCACTGTATGTGTGTGTCTGCTGCAGTTTGTATCACCCACATAATAGCACTCAGAACCCCCATCCATGCTTAAGGGTTAAGCCCCTTCACATTTAGCAGTCACAATCCGGATATCCTCTGGCCCCACCACAATGTATGCTGACTCAGAATTCTCTCTCCTCTCTCCCGGGTATAGTAAGTTCCTAAAAAACATCCCATCTGATGGCTAGCCTTGACAAATGCCCAGGAGGATGCAGCTTGGCAGTGCCCACCACTCCTCAGATCACCAATAGAGTCAGAACATGATACTGTTGAAATATGGCAAGTGTGACTCATTCAAGATAAAAACTTATATTATATATATATATATATATATATATAATATCCTTTAATAATGTGAAATAGCTCAGTGTACCCTCCCACTCTGGTTAGATGCTCAACAGACCACAGCAGACAATGCACTTCCACCCGGGCTAAGTGTGCAAGAAAACTGAAGTCCATGCAAAGCAAATTATAGGCTCAGGAACTGTCTGGCACAAGACAAGACCAACCCTTTCTAGGAGTCTTGCCTTTGCTTCCTTTTTACTTTAAGTCTTGTAATTGAACGTTACAAAGTGTATCAAGGAAAATCAACTTACCGGGTTCCCCACTCCCAAACAAGAAAAGGTTAAGCTTTTAATTACAGGCCCTCAAACTATCATTTTGTGCAATTAGCAATTAACTATAATCGTTGATGAGAAAATGCAAAGCTGCGCTAGCAATTTCCCTACTCCTCATCCCAGACTGGGTTATTTTAGTCTTGTTCTATTAAGAGGACAAGCCACAACCACGGTTCTCTCTCTCTCTCTCACACACACACACTCTCTTTCACTTAAAGACACATTTAATTTTTAGCAAAATGGCATCTCAGCGTGCGATTGAGACAGGCATCCCGAACCCCACATCAGAGCAGCCCAAACGTTTGTATCCCCTCCTCTTCATCACTTTCTGGGTGGAGCAAGGAGGCCCGAGGAAGATGCTACCTACCAGCCTCTCTTAGGGGCGCAGGAGAGGGTGGTAGAGAGATGCTTGTTGCCCGGGAGCTGCAAGTGCCCCCCAGCTGCGAGCCCCGTTAGCGGGGAGGCGGTGGCAACAGCCGCGATAGTTGCATCAGCGCTAACTGCTGCGGCTGCATTTACTGTTGGCGCTGCCGGGAGGGTACAGTAATGACTGTAGGGAGCGCACAGCTGCCGCGGCGGCAGGTTCCCTGGATCAGGAAATTAGGACAGGCACCGGGGATTGGAGGCGAGGGCGGTGCGTGAGCCAACCAGCGGCCGCCCCGGGCCCCCGTGCGCCTCGGGCGGACGCGCGGAGCTGCCGGGCCCCTGGAGCAGTCCGGGCGGCGGCGGCCACGGCCACTGCCACTCACGCACGCTCACACTCGCACACCCCCGGCGCAGGCACCAGGCTGCCCGGCGCGAGAAAGAAGAGCGCGTAGAGGGGAAGGAGGGCTGGAGCCGCCGCGCTCCCCCCACCCCCCAGCTGACCACTCCCCCTCCTCCCCCCTCCCGGCTGCTCACCCCGCGCTCCAGCCGCCGCCAGTGTGGGTGCTCCGCAGCCGGCTCCTCTCGCTTCTGTCTTCTCCTCTGCTCTCGCTCCCCACCCCCCCTCTCCTCTCCTCTCCTCTGCAGCGCCTGCATTATTTTCTGCCCGCAGGCTCGGCTTGCACCGCTGCTGCAGCCCGGGGAGGTGGGTGGTGGGTTGGCTGGTGGGGAGGAGATTGAGCAAGTTGTAGGGGAGGGGGTGCTCTCTTCTTCCCCGCTCCCTTCCCCCCGACTCCTTCCCCCTCCTTCTCCCCCTTCCCCCTCCCCGCCCCCACCTCCTTCCTCCTTTCCGAAGGGCTGGTAACTTGTTGTGCGGAGCGAGCGGCGGCGGCACCATCCAGGCGGGCACCATGGGCACGTCCGCGCGCTGGGCGCTCTGGCTGCTGCTCGCGCTGTGCTGGGCGCCCCGGGAGAGCGGCGCCACCGGAACCGGTGAGTGAGGACGCGCCCCTCCGCGGGGCACCCGGGCCCAGCCGGGGCTACCGGGGACCCGAGGCGCGGGTCTCCTTTTGCCCACCCCCCTCCTCGAAGGCGCCTCTCCGCTCTCCTCGCCGCCTTCCCCTCCCCACCCTGGTGGCGCCTCTGAGCTGTCAGCGCCGAGGCTAAAGGGAGCGGGCTTGGGGGACAGTGAGGTTCGGGGTGTCCTAAAGCCTCACCTGAACTAGTCTTCATTCCCTCACACCCCTTCCCCCAAAGCCACTGCTTTGCCTCGTTCTTTCTCCCCGTTGACAGTGACTGGGGAATGTGAGCTCCGAGCCGTGGAACAATGGTTCTGCCGCCTCTGCCGGGCGGAGCGTTGGGAAGCAGGCAGAGGGCCGAGACGTGCGCTGCGGCCCGGGGCGCGCCCCTCGGGTCTCGGGGAGGCTGGGAGCGGACGGTGGGCGCCTCGGGGACGCGGGGCGCCAGGTGCGGGCCGGGGCAGGCGGTCCTCCCGCGGCCGTGAGCGGGCGCACGTTCGGTGGGCGGCAGCCGGGAGGCTCCGCGGAGCCGGGAGAAGTGCGCAGCCTGCGCTCCCGGACTGCGACTCCCGGGGCGCCGGCCTGTCTGTCCGGCGTGCAGGTGAGGGGAGGAGTGTGGCTTTAAACGGGACTCCCCTCCTGAGCGCTTCTCCCCCCCCGCGCTCTTTCCCACCCCCGGCCGCACTCGGACACCGCTCGGGTCTCCCGCGTGGCTGAACGGGGAGGGGAGCGGAACGGAACGCAGACTTAACCAGGTTAGTTTGCCGATCCCTGTCCCCGTGACGTTTCCTCGGGAGGAACTGAGTCCTAATCTAGCGAGTGTAATTAGCCTTCATTCTAAACAATAGATCAAAGGAGCAGCGCGAGAGCGGGCGCGCGGCTGGGTCTCGCCGGGGAGGGCGGCGGGGACGCTGGTCGAGGCCCCGGGGCGCGCCGCGCTGGGCCTGGGGGCCCGACCCGTCTGCAGCCACTCTCCCGCTGCGAGCCCCGGAACTTTCCCAGGCTGGCGGCTGGAAGCCCTGCTAAGAGGGTTCGCTCAGAATGCTGGCGGGTCCCAAAAGTGATCTCAAGACGTGACACCTAGGGGCTCGCTTGCCAGCTCGAGGGACCTGGGACGGGAGGCTGCCCCAGCCCTAAATACTCCGACAGTCCCCAGCTCCTGTCGCCCGGTGGCTCGGGAGGCCCGCCTGCCTCCAGTCACGTGTCTCCTCGGGAGAGAGCAAACTTTCAAGTATGTGGTCAAGAAGCCTCTCGGGCAATACTTGGGCTTTTTAAGCCTGCGAGTGCAATGCTCCCTGCCCTTTAGTTCCGACCGTCCGGAGCGTGCGAAGCTGGGACTAGCCTTTCTGCCCTCTGCGATTGGCTGGCGGTCCGATCACGTCCAGCTCGGTCACGTGGCCCCGCGGGCTCGTCGTTTAGCAGCCTGAGAAGTGTTATCTTCAAGGGAAAGTAAAAGACCCGACAGGCTCCAACGGGCTGTTGTCTAAAATGCCTTCTCCTGCCTGGGCTCTTGGGAAAAGACGAGCGTGTGCAGTGAAGACGGGATCCGATGTAGAACAAGCCCGAGAGGCTAGGAAAGCCCTGCTTTACAAGAGTTTTCAGACGCTAGCATTAATCATTAATGGACGAGTAATACTAACTTAGTAAGCGATTTGTCCAGACAGTGCCGTGACTCGCATTATGCTTTTTGGGACATTTGCAAAACAGAGGCAGATCATAAACTGATGATTATCTAGCGAGGTGGGAGAAAAGTTTCATTTTTGCTGCATGTCCTTTCATAGGCTTGGAATTCAAGGTATAATAACTTTCCATTCGAGGTTAACTTTACCCTGTAGAATGCTAGGAATGCACCTAAACTGTTGAAATGAGTTAGCCAAAGCCCTGTGTTCAGCTTGTATCAGGCAGGTGAGGATCTTCTTTGTTTGCTCCCCTTTGTCACGTGTGAAATATGTGATGTGCCCTGAACAGTGGAAGACAGAAGCCCATGCAGATTCTTCAAAGGCAAGAAGGCAGTTCTTTAGGAACTGGAGGAAATTTGGAGTTGGCTGAAGCAGATATTAACTCTAAGCCAACTGAGCCTGGCTGCTCTCTTAAGCCTGGCTTCTGTCTTAAGTTCAGAGTCACAGGGCATGTGGACTGACTTTCTGGCCCGGAACTTTTACACTTTTTCCACCCTCACATGGTGCTGGTCCAAAACTGTAAAATAAAGCAAGTGTGCACCCAGACTCTGACAAGGAACTTAAGGCTAACAAGAGGAGTTAGTATACCTGATTGTAAAAGACCTGAGGGTTCTTGGACATTTTCCTCCAGCCTAGGTAGTCGAGATTAAGATCTGGGCTGCCATATATCCTTTAATGTCAGAGTCTAGAAGAACTAGGGTTTTGTGAGAGCTAATCAGATATAGCTAGCAACTAGCAAAAGAGTAGAAAGAAACTTGTCCTGTTGGGAGTGGGTTGGCGTTAGTGGTAGTACCAATAGATCTGGAGGTAGGGAACTGGAAGACAAGGGGAAAATAAACCTGACTTATCCAGATAACACCAAAGGAAAGGATGATGATGGTAATCCTTATCAAAAACTGAGCATGTTAACAAGAACCCTTTAAAGGAAGGTCACCAGACAAGCCCTCATTGGCAATGGCAGTTTCTTGAAGTGTTGGAGGGCTTTTGTTCCCTAAATCACCCTCTTGCCCATTTCATGTGGCCTTTTGATTCTTTGCTTTTATTACCTGCATCCCCAGGTACCTAAAGCATGTACAAAGGTCAAGTTCGATAGAGCTGAAACATGTTAAAATTTCAGTACAAACTGTATATTCAAATGCTAAACATTGCTAGCAAAGGTGACAGCCTCCATGCTCAAAAGAAGTGAAGACCTGATCCAGGTGTTTCTACTTTTTGTGAAATTGAGTAATCATAAGCTTGTCTTCACTTGAGTAGTTTTATTACAATTCTGGAAGAGGTGAAAAGTAGTTACAAGCCCCTTCTGTTCCAGGAGGGATATCAAACTAAGACTTAACAGGAACTCCTAGAATAAAACATGGCTGTAAGGTCAAGGGAACAGTTAGTAGCCAGCCATATGGCTTCAGGTTTTGATCCAAAATCCAGAAGACTTGGCACACAGCCTAAGAATACAGATAATTCAGATTAAATATCCAGACCATTTTCTATTTCCCACAGAATGTAAAGTTTTTCTTTTCAGTAGAGCGCATAGTGATTAAATTGAGGCAGTTGCCTACATGACTTCAAGTCATGATTACATTCACCTTGGATACTGACCTTCCTTTGGAAAGCCAGCTTCACATACTAGCCTGTAAGAGATTCGGTGTGTTAAAAGGCTATGATAAGGTCTATAATGATGCTCATCGTAAAGGTGCCTGCCTTAGGAGAGCTGCTCATGGTGGGCTGACACAGCTGCCCTCCACATGGTTAGTTGATACATTCAAAATTGCTTAGCTTTTTCCCTTATAAATTAATCTCAAGAAAATAGTGACACCACAGCATGACAGACTACTTTCAAAGCAAACAGTCCAAAAATACCTTCTGCTGAGGCTGTGGGTAAGATGTACTTGCTGAGCAGAAGTAAGTGGTCCAGGGATAATGTTTCCCCTAGCTGAAGAGTTTTTGGCTAAGACTTAACAGGAAGTCCACATTTAGTCCACATCTGAGGACTGATGGCTTTTCTAAGGACAAGGGGCAGAATATGACAAGGTTGAAAAGCATCTGACTTTGTAAGTGAAAATCAACTCAATTTTACTCTGTGCACTTTCCAATCTACATCAGCGTCTCTTCGCTAAGTTCTTCGTTGTCTTGCAACATAAACTCTAAACATTGTAAATACCACTTAGACATGCTAACTGTACTACAGGAACCAAACGAGATGGCAGGAGATATAGGTTGAGTATCCCTTATCCAAAATTGTTGATCCAGACATGTTTTGTGGATTTGGGATTTTTTTTCAGGTTTGGAATACTTACATATACATAATGCAGTATCTTGGGGATGGGATCCAAGTCTAAACATGATATTTATTTATATTTCACATATACTTTATAAACATAGCATGAAGGTAATTTTATACAATATTTGATATTTATTTATATTTCACATATACTTTATAAACATAGCATGAAGGTAATTTTATACAATATTTGTAATAATTTTATGCATGAAACAAAGTTTTGACTATGTTTTGATTGCATTTTGACTGTGACCCACCACATGAGCTCAAATGTGGAATGTTCTACTTGTGTCGTCATGTCAGCATTCAAAAAGTTTTGTATTTTGGAAATTTTCATTAAAATTTCATTTTGGATTTTTGCATTAATAATATTTAACCCATGCCTTAAGTTTAGCACTTGTCCCTTTGCATGAAGCTCCTATGAAAACTTGGGCCTATTAGTTATTTTTGAGGCTGTAAATTAAGAAAAACAGTGGCTGCTAGGTGCTGTGAGAGTAATTATAGAAATGGTGGTGCATGCCTGTAGTCCCAGCTACTTGGGAGGCTGAGACAGGAGGATCGCTTGAGCCCAGGAGTTTGAGGTTGCTGTGAGCTAGGCAGACGCCACGGCACTCACTCTAGCTTGAGCAACAGAGGGAGACTCTGTCTCAAAAAAAAACAAAAGGCCTTCTGGGTTGTGGCTGATTTTGCCACCTCAGGGTATCTGGGTGGGCGCCGCTGGCTAGTAGCCAGGTAAGGGAGATGAGATAAAGCCTTGTTAATAGACAGTGTTTGCAAGTTACTTCACTTGTTATAACTCAGTATTACCCCCAAATACTGTGAGTAAACAGGGTTCCTATTTTAGACTGCCTCTTATCTTTCATTTTCTTAAGAAAGCCTTCCCAAGATCTGAGTTACGAATGGATCTATAGGTTAACTATGTAGGTTGCAGATTGCAGCCAGTCATCTTTGTACATCTGCTTGAAACCACTTAAAGTACCTCTCCTGAGCACCTACCATATGGCACCAGGCATGAGGGACACAGTGACCATAGCATTGGTCCCTTCCTTCATGGCATTTAATCTAGTGGGGCAGCCAAACTGGGAAATCAATAATCCAAAGACAGCCTGGAATAGAAGCTCTGAGCAGGAGTGAGCAGATCTAGTGTTTAAGACTTAATCATAAAGGAGGCAGATAGCAGCTGAAGATTGCTGGAGTTCTCACTTGCAACATGGGTTATAGCTTATGAAGCTTTCCTAAAATCACCAAGAATTTAGACTTTCATATGGCAAAGCCAGAAACTATTTCCATCTCTGCAGATGATCTTACAAAAGTGATGTGATTCAAGCAACCATGGGTTGCTGCCAACATTACCAAAGAGCATTAAAACATGTCAGAAGTGAAATCTGGGTCTGACGTATCAAACTCTTAACCTTACCAGTTAGCCGCTGCTGTCAGAACTGCTCTACTGACATGGAAATGAGGCCAACATACCCACACTGACACACTCATTCTGATGGGCAAGAGTGGAAAGACGCGCTGTTTTTAAATGAAAAAGTGCTATAAATATGAGGTGAACATACCCCCATAGGCATAGGGAACAAGAGCCTTTTACAGTCTTTCAAAGTGTTCTAGCTAGTAAAACAACTGGTCACACTTAGTTTCAATTTCAGAAAAGCTGGGAAGAATGTTTTGACAAAAGTCTCTAGTTCAGATCAGCTTTATTAGTGAACCAATACAGCAACTCATACATGCAAGACTACTAACTAGTGCTCAGAGAATCTTTGGAGGTCAGTCCCCAGGTCCTGAATGACAAAGAATAAATTGCAGCCTTGCCTTAGGGGATCTCTGTGTCTCAAGGTGGAAACCGGTAGCTAAATGCATTACAGTGCATAATGGCTGTGTGACAGGGACAAGGAGAAAGTAGCCAGACCATGCCTACCTCTGCCAAAAAAGGCACTGAGGTCCTCCTGTTGGGTAAGTGAACAGGGGTAACATGAGCAAACCCCCAGACGAAGCAGCCACACAGGAGGGCAAAGGCATGGGGAGGGAGGTGAGGGCGTCCCGTTGGAGTTGTTATCTAAGCCAGTATAACCTGAGTAGATGGTGGTGGCCGCAGACAGGGAGAAGTCTAAGGAAAATTGGTAGGGAATTTACACTCAATCCTGGAGACAGTGGGAAGCCAGGAAGTGACCCCATCCTAGGCAATTCTGACCATTCTAGGTTGCTTGAATGAATCACCATCTTGGTTTGGGCAGAGAATGGGGCAGCCTGGAGGCAAATAAACAAGAGACTTACATTTAGAGTAAGTGAAAGATGAGGACTTGAATGGCCAAATGAGGAGCTTGATGGCCAAATGTCAGGGTAGTGGCCACTCTGGGCTCACTTTTGGACTACTGATTTAGAGTAAGTGATGGACCAGTCAAAGACAGAGTACACAGGAAAGGGAAGACAGATTTAGAAGAACCTCTTTATCGTACATGCCTATATAGGCATCCAAATAAATTTTACCTACATAGTGGGCTCAAGGGCTTTGCTCAGGTTGTCACCATCATGTCTGTTGTAAGAGATTGGCATTTATTTCCTATGCCCATCCAGGGATATGCATGAGGGCACATGGAGGTTAATGTTTGATAGTATGTCATAACACTCTGAAAATAGCCACTTCCATTATGGGTAGAATTATGGATTCTTAACCTTAGTGCAGTGATTCTCAAAGTATGGTCTAAAACTAGCAGTGTCAAAATTAACTCCTTAGAAATGCAAACTTAGGCCCACCCTAAACTTACTGAATCAGTATCTCTGGGCCAGGCCCCAGCATGGTGGGTTTTAATAAGCCTTTGAGGGGATTCTGATGCATACCTAGAACTTGAGGACAACTGACTTAGTTTGCCACCCACAGAAGCCAACTTCCAAGTATATCAGGTGGAAGGCCTTTGCTCTGACTTGACCAGTGTGCCCTAGACAAGAAAACTAAGAGCCATAGCCCTTCTGGAAGAAGACCCACTGAGGAAATCCCAGCAGCATTTTTTTTTTTTTAATTAGAATGAGGAAGGGGGAAGCTCAAGGCTCTGTCTCAACAATAAGGCTGTATTATGAGAGTTTGTCTTGACAAATAAAAACACCTACTTAATTGGATTAATTGAAGCTGGCTCCTTACCTAAATTCAAAGTCAACAGAATATTCTAGAAACACATAGTCCTGAGTTGGGCCCTCTACTTTATCTGAATGCTCAGTAGCACAGTCTCTGGAGCCAGAGTGCCTGGGTTCAAATCCTAGCTCTGCCCAGGGTAATGATCTTGGGCAAGTTACTGTACTTCCCTTCTCTGAACAGGTTTCCTAATCCATAAAAGGTGAATAATAGTGCCAACCATAGAGGATTGAGAATTTTAAAAGTTAAGAGACATGAAGTCTTAGGACAATGCTGGGCCAACCACAAAAAACATCTACTTATTTATCCATGATTTTTAAGATCGTCTCAATCCAATATAAAGGGAAAAACTGACAGTTGTCAACTGCACTTATGTCAGTGATCAGAAGAATCAACCTACCTATTTAACAGCATTTAGTGGCCCCCAGACTGGTTCTTACAGCGCTTCGGAGGCTGACTTTAAGGCCAGAACATAACCTTTATGCTTGACAGCTCAGAACCTCTCCCTTGGCACCTACGTTGCGGTACTTTGCCTCTTATGAACCGCCTTCCCCCTAGGAAAACTTCTTTGCTGACTCAGAAATCTGCTTGTCCTAAAAGGAGTTTTAGCCTATGAATAGAAAGATAGGCATTAAAGTGGCAGGCAGTAGAAGTGAACTAGACTAAAAATAAATGCCCTTGGTGGCACCAGAGGTGCCAAAGCAAACAGACGGAAGAAATTCCAGCAGATGATAGCACCTGTATGCTCAAGCGTTGAGGAAGGGCACGAGAGGTGTAAGTGCTTGGTCCTGGTGGCCCCAGCAGTGTGGCAGCATGGGCCCCTCTGTGCTGCAGGTTGAAGTTTACACTCTGAGCCTCATACTCAGCGACACCGTCTCTCTATTTCTGGGCATGCATGTTGGAGCGCTCCTGCCACGGCGCTGCTCAGAGCCCCACAGGGAAATGTGTAGCCCATCTTGAAGGCTCGGTATGTGCTGTAAGGTCTGTGCAGTTTTTTTCACTGAAGCTTACGTATTGTTCTCCCGTATTAACCCTTGCAGGGACAATTAGACAACAGCAGGCTGACTTCCATATGCATTAAAAACCCTGAGTTTCTTGGAGCCAGTGAACTGCCAACATGTCTGGGTAGCAACGTTAACAATTTAGGTAAGCAAGGCTCCTGGGACATGGGCGCCTTGACGTAAGTTTGCGTAGTCTGATTCCATCTCTATAAGTGACAGTAAAAGCGAATAATTCTTCGACACTTTGGGAATTCGTTCGTTACAAATTTATATAGCCACATAAGTGAGTAGGCACAAGTGACTTCCAACCCCTTGACCCAAAGGAGCAGAAGTATTCATTCTAAATATCACAGCTAGAAGGAAAGCTAGACAGCTTCGTTTCTTTTAAAGCAATAGAATCCTTTTCTAATTCTTACACAGAAATCTAATGTTCGAAAGAAAGCCTTCTTGGTTGAGACAGGTAGAACACACAGGGCCCCTGCTGTTGTGGCCTTTTCCCCCACTTCAGCCACCCCTCTGGCCATAAGCCATTCATGTGAAATCCCATGGCTTTGAGGCTACCTATTAAAAATTGCATTTTACCCCAATTTCTCATCTTTCTGAGCAGGCAGACCCTGGGATAAGTAACTACCGCTTCTCCTTCCAAGGTTATTTTTTGAGGTGTTATCGGCTTCAGCTTTAATCTAAGAATTAACAGAACCTCAGGTGTAGATGATTTCAAGCTCAACTTGTTCGCTTTATGAAAGTATAATACCAAACCCGAGACTTAACTTTCATGGATGGAAATAGACTACAGGTTCACAATCCTGTAATCCCCAGAGCTTCGGGAACCAAAAGCTCCTTAACTCATTTGGTGCTCTCCGTTCTGGAGCAGTGTATAGCAGCTGTCCCGGTTGAGCACTAGAGGTGGAAAGGCAGAACCTTTTTAAAACTTGAACAGAAAACTTAAAGTGTTGCGGTCAGATGACTGGGCGCTCAGCATTCGATTTAGTGTCTGAGTTCTCCTTTGCAAGAAGCAGAGAATTAAACAAAACGAGGGAGTGTGTTCTGCCCAGTAGCAATCTCTCAAAACAAAGTGCTTAGGAAACTAGGAAACTAAGAGGCATAGCCATAAAGCTTAAGGTCTTTATTTGCCTCTCTTTAAAGGGTCCTTTATAAAGCCAGCTTCCCTTCCCACCCCCACCCCATCTCGCTCTTTTCAGCAAGCGGGATGTTTCAGCAGTTCGTTGTACTCCTAACGCTAGTGGCTTCTCTGATGGAGTGTCTGAGCCTGTGCTGGCAAAACAGCTTTATGACAATCGGGCAGAAGCTTCGGTGAGGTGGAAATATCAGGGATAAAAAAAGTAGAAATGAAATTCCTTTTTGTCTTAGGATATATTCTTTTTTTTTTTTTCTTTTTTTGAGACAATCTCACTTTGTTGCCCAGGCTAGAGTGAGTGCCATGGCGTCAGCCTAGCTCACAGCAACCTCACACTCCTGGGCTCAAGTGATCCTCCTGCCTCAGCCTCCTGAGTAGCTGGGACTACAGGCTTGCGCCACCATGCCCGGCTAATTTTTTTCTGTATATATTAGTTGGCCAATTAATTTCTTTCTATTTATAGTAGAGATGGGGTCTCGCTCTTGCTCAGGCTGGTTTCGAACTCCTGACCTTGAGCAATCTGCCCGCCTCGGCCTCCCAGAGAGCTAGGATTACAGGCGAGAGCCACCGCGCCCGGCCTGTCTTAGGATATTTTCTTAGTAGAAATTGCTGTATCTGTCCTGAGCCTACTCAGTATGGACTCTCGAGGCAGAGTTGCCAGGATTTTAATACAGTTTATGACTGTGGATGGCTTGTATGCTACAGCTAAATCCAGAGACCCTCTTCAAGGTGACAGTGGACTAAATATCAGCCTCAGGAAGCTGTATGCCCGTATTTCGTCCCAGGCCAGTTTGGATGTTTATGAAATCTGCAGCTTCAAAACTCATTTTGAAGGAGGTCTTCTTTCGGGTACCTAACCCTGAAGTGAAAAACCATCTTTGGACATCTATGTTTAGGTCCCCATCCAAGTCCGATTACAAGTTTCCTGTTTTGACTCTGTAGATATCAATGTTTTTATCTTGTTTTGACTTAACAACTTTTGCTAACTAAAACATTAAAAAAAAAAATTCAGAGCCTTTCAGCCTTTACTGTATCCTAACTGAAACCTGTTTTTCCCCAAGTATATTTATACCTACCTATGTTCTCTGACTACAAATTGTTCTTTTTCTAGTAAAGTACTCAAAAAGAAGATTCTTACCACTCTCACCATCCTCAAAAGTAGTAAAGTTATAAAACTACAGCAAATAGCCCCTAGAACATGTCCCCCTAGCAGTGAGAATATAGAAACTATATTGAGAATCCAGTGGTAATGGGGTGGGGGGTGGGGGGAAGCAGCTAGGTACCTCGTACTGACTTTAGCAGCATCAAAATGAACAGGTGATGCTTCCTGACAACAATCTCTTCCCTCCTCTTGTTCCCCTTCTAAATCCCTAGTATCGTACAACCAATAAAATATTGGTAAGTGGAATGGATAAGTATTATGAAATGTAGGTAAGAAGTGTCATTCAGCCATACTGCTTTGTAGCTGGGTCCCGCTTTAACTAGACTCTTAAGAACAGAGTCTTTAAAGAACACAGTTTTTTTAAACAATATATTTAATATGTAAGAATGTAACTACACCCATACGTAATCTTGACTTGGGCCAAATTTTGATCGCCCAGCGAATTAGTCACAAAGCACAGAATGCTCCCAGACAGCAGGGAGTAGCTGATACTAAGGAGACCAACTAGAGTATTGTGTGCATAACACAAGCGTTCCAGTCTGTGCTTGTCGCTGTAGTATCAGTTCTTACGCCAGCATGCCACAGCTGCAAATGCTGAAAGGTGGCAGGAAATCGGAAGGCTTTCTGCTTGGAAACCTCTCTTAAGTAATTTGCATGGACTATATGATTCCACTGGTTTTCTCAAATATTTGCAGCATATTTGCTTTAAGTGACCAGATCTGTAACCTTTTTTAGAGAGTGCATCCTCCAAAAGGACAGAACTGCTAATGATAGGAATCACCTGCATATTAGTTGTCCCATGCCAGGCAAAAAACTAAGTACCTTACTTAACAAGTCTTAGTTCATGCCATTATGTAAATTAAATATTGGTACATTCGGCATAGGAAAAATGAGGTTCAGAGAAATAGAATCCAGGTCTATGGCACTACCTCATTTTCCTTTTCTCTTATCACTAAATGAGAAATGCTCTGCCTTTGCCTCTTAACTATACTTTCTTGTTACTTTTATCTTATCTTGGAGCTGTTTTGTAAACATGTGCTTTTTGCAATTAGACCTCAATTTCTAAGATGAGGAACCATATATTAAACCTCTGTTTTTACCCTCTTCTTGCTGCCCTTTCTAAATCTCCTTTACTTTGCCTACAATAGGAACATTATTCATGAATTATCATAGTATGGATGTGGGCAAGAAATGCCATTAAAGGATTAGGATTTGGCTGTGTGACTGTAGCCACACAAATGGCTTACACAAATGAGAGAAATGAGCCCAGGGTGCAGATGTGATGTCCCTTGCGGTGTCTGGACAATCCAGGTTCCTTCTGTTTTGGTCTGTCTCCATTTGCCCAAGATCACTCTTCCAGCCCCCATGCCCAGTTTTCAGGAAACAGAAAGGAATAAAGGGAAGGAAAATGGATCCTCTGTCCTTTTAATGTTTCGTAAAAGCCGTATATACCATTTCCGTTTCGTTAGCCAGAACTTAGCCCCTTGGCTGTGCCCCACCTCAAGAGAGGCTGAGCGATCTAGTGTTTTGGCTCAGCATGCGCCCAGCCAAGAAGTCAGTCACTGCCCCAGACCCACCCAGCTCTGGCCCCTAGCATGTCGCAGCCTGCTGAGGCTGCAGCTATCCCCAGAGAGCCCCTGTCCGTGGGTTTTGGGTAACTTGCATCTCTAACTTACCACCCGTCTGTCATCGCTTTGCTTAGTGTTCCCTTCTGATTCTAGGGAGAAAAGCCAAATGCGAACCCTCCCAATTCCAGTGCACGAACGGCCGCTGTATTACTCTGTTGTGGAAATGTGATGGGGACGAAGACTGTGTTGATGGCAGTGACGAGAAGAACTGTGGTAAGTAAAGAGTTCGATGATCCCACTTGCCATCTCATTTGGACTTACGCATTTTATTAAAATGGGATGATGCTGTCTTAAGTTTCTACAAATGTATTGAGATTTTGAAAATAAAATCCACTCCTAACAATTGCTTTGAACCAAAGTCCAAACAATCTGAACTTCCCTGTCTAAATGAATATAATTGAATATTTAACATGGGGTTATCAACTTGAGTATGGAGTGTTGAAGGCAGGGTGGATTTCCTTTTAAATGACAGGACTCAGTATAGCTTTGATCGGGCAAACGTGGTATAAGGAGGCTGGGGGAAGGGAGAAGAGGACCAAAAATAAAGGCAGATATAAGATTGCTTAGAAGCGACTTTTTTTTTTTTTTTTCCAATTCTCAAATGGCTCTGATCCCAGAAAAGAAAGAAAGTCATGGACATGAGGAAATCCCATAAAGTTTCAGGGGGTTAATTAACCCCTAACATAGAAACTACAAGCCAGCACAGATTAAAGATCAGATAAGGGTTCTTTTTTAATTCTCTGCCTACAATAGTGGCTAATGCTAAAGCATTAGCAGTGCGGAAGACATTCTCTCCCCAAGAGAATGGGGATATAACATCATACCCATCAATCAGCATCTATGAAAAGATCATTGTGAGAAATGCCTATGTATGCATGTCTCATGTCAAGCCAGAACAGCTGAGAAGTACATGTCAAGCTCACATTAGGTACCTTGAATACATGCTGTATTTTGCTTTATGGTCCCTTTGTTTGATGTTGTAAAAATCCTGAAACAATGTTGTATGTGACTATTGGTGCTAGTGTTTTTATTTACCTTTTAAAAGATGTTATATGAAGGGCCAGGCACAGTGGCTCATGCCCATAATCCTAGCACTCTGGGAGGCTGAGACAGGAGGATCACTCGAGGTCAAGAGTTTGAGACCAGCCTGAGCAAGAGAAGACCCCGTCTCTACTAAAAAATAGAAAGAAATTAATTGGCCAACTAAAAATATATAGAAAAAATTAGTCAAGCATGGTAGCACATGCCTGTAGTCCCAGCTACTCAGGAGGCTGAGGCAGAAGGATTGCTTCAGCCTAGGATTTGAGGTTGCTGTGAGCTAGGCTAATGCCACAGCACTCTAGCCCGGGCAACGGAGCGAGACTTTATCTCCAAAAAAAAAAAATGCTATATGAAGATGTTCACTATGCAAACTAGAAATACAGAAGAAAAGTAGAAGCTAAATGTAGGTTTCATCAACTGCCATCTTGTTACAGCCTTCACTGCTTCTCCATGCATCATTACTGAGATACCATAGAGTGAATATCATGGCAAACATTGTCCTATTCTTGATGTCTCTGAGCAATGTCACAAGTGTTTTCATGCCAATATGCAGATCAGTAGCTTCTTTGGAAGTATAGAAAGTCCATTCTGCAGTCTCAGGGAAGAAACTTATATCCAGTCTGAGGACCAAGAAGAGTTGTCTTGTGTAATACTTTTCCAACATTATATAATGTTAAATTTTTCCAACATTTTAAATGTTAAATTTTTCCAACATTTTAACATTCCAGCATTTTAACTCTAAGATTTTAATCTACACCACAAGACATTGAGTTCCATGCTATTTCTAGGTTACCTAGGTAATTTAATTTCCTCACTAAATATCTCCTTTGAAGGTCCTCACTCTTGTCAACTGTTCTCTTGGTGTAAGTAGCAATTTTTCTCCTATTGTAAACCACATATTTGGCAAAACCCATTGCTTTTCCTTAAAAAATGATTGTTCTCTTTATGTTGTTAAGGTCTTCTTTTACTCTCTGACTAAATCAGTAGGAACTGACCTGGGTCATCTTAGGGCATAATCACTGGCTTTTCCTAAAATAGTCTTTTATAAATACCCTCTACTAGCCACATGGTAGGAGGGTTTGGAAGAGGGAAGGAGGTAGATGTATATTTAATTGAGATTATTTGAGGTGGGAAAAGTTAAATATATTCTTAGCCGGAATTTGTCTCTGCCTCCCAGGTGTGAAAGTAGAGGAGGAAAGTAGAAGCTTGACTCAGGCAAGCTCTGAACGCTTACTTGGAGATGTTCCTTTATGGAAGAGAAAAGCTATCCAATTACTTAAAATTTTCAAAGCCACCTCCTACTTTTCCTGTCTAATCTCTGGCTATAATTTTCAGCAGCGCTCTTTATTTCAGACATGCCAACTACTAGTAGCATATTGAGTCAGCGTGGCCTTAGATGTAATTCCATTGGTCCCATTAACGCATTCTTTTTTGTCAGTCTGAGAGGATTAATCAGTAACTTAAAATACTCTAAGTATGTAACTGCTAATTCTCTTCCTCTGTGTCACATCTAAATATCTATCCCTCTCTCAAGCCTCATCTCAAATATCCTTTCTTTGCTCTCCTAGTCTGATCAGAGGGAAGAGAGAGAACTCTATGGCAATGTGTCCCTATTTATCTTTTGCTCACTTTGTTACAGACAGCCTTTCATATTCTCATGACATTTTCTTCTTAAAATCATCTGGTCTCTTTATAACCATTTCCCTACTCCTTTTGTTGTAACTTCTGAAGAATATCACAGATTGAATTAACCCCTTGCAGATTCTCTGGCCTCTTCCTCCATGCTCAGGAGAATGGGCCTTAGATAGCACTTAATTCATTAGCACTGGGATTTGAGTATTTTGGTGATTTCAGAAACAGGTGTGAATCTAAGAGCTGACATGACCTTTCTTGTTTCCTCGGCTATTCAATTCAAGGAGATAAATAACATTTTTGGATCATAATAATTTGTCAACCTATCTTGAGTTCTAGAAATTAACTATAATCACTATCTCCCCACTTTAAAATATCTAAGGCTAAACCAGAGTGGTCCAAGGGTAATCTCTAACCTCTGAGAGTTTTAGCTAGGATAAGCTTAAACCCTTGACTTGATGAAGTCCCTTTCAAATTTTCAGCAAATTGCAGACTTTCAGCTGATTTTCCATCACAGAATAATTGTTAGAGAGGAATGTTTTAAAATGGAAATTCAGGTAGAAAGTATAGGCACATAGGAAGAATATAGTCTGACAAGGATAAACCTAGGGTATACTATGTGGCTATTTTATCAAGACTTTTCCTACTCTCAGATTCCTTTATGTGTAGGGTGACCAAACTTCTGGTTTGCTTAGGACAGTCCTGATTTATGCTTATCATCTTTGTATAATTAGCAGTGTCCCCTTTCTATTGAGACTGTCCCTATTTGGACAAAAAATTGCATGGTAACCCTAAATACAGGGGAGATGGCCTGCCCTGAGAAGATACCTTGCCTTAGGCTTTTTTAACACTAGCAGTAAGTTATGGATATTAGCACTGGCAGCTTCAATAACTTTTAACTGATTGATGTTAGCCTACCCCTTGGCTAGAAAGGCTAAAATTTTTGCTGCTTGAATTCTAAATATGACCTCTCTTGTTATATATACTGTTTGAGTTTTCTCTCCTTCCTACTAGATAAGTTCCTTTGCCCCAGAAAACGAGTAGGGGTGACAATATTCAGTACTGGGGCTTGGCCTTCTATCTACATATATTGCTAAGACATGCCACTAGAACAGTGTCTTGGTTCAGACTGCTATAACAAAAATACCATAGACGGGGTGGTTTAAACAACAGAAATTTATTTCTCATAGTTCTGGAGGCTGGGAAGTCTAAGATCAAGGTGCCAGTAGATATGTCTGTTGAGGGCTCTCTTTCTGGTTTGCAGAGGGCCGTCTGCTCACTGTGTCCTCATGTGGTGGAGAACAGAGAGGACAGAAAGCAAGCTCTCTTTTCTTTTTATAAGGGCACTAATCCCATTCACGAGGGCTCCACCCTTGTGACGTAATTACCTCCCAAAGGCCCCACCTCTTAATACCATCCACATTGGGGGTTGGGATTGCGAGACACAAATTTTGGGGAGACACAAATATTCAGACCATAGCAAACAGTTGTACTATATGATCCAGTCACAAAACGGAACGTTCGGTCGTTAAACTTATGAAGTAGCTAAATGACTTAGAAAATAACACATGAAGAGAATGCAAGTGTTACTTCATCTCAACATTCTAACACAGGCAGGAAGGTAGGTGTATCTATGGGTTGTAAGATAATGGGCAACCTTCGTCTTACCCTGACTTCGGTATCCTCCACGTCTCTCAAATGAGCACCTTCCTCCTCTAAAAAACAGAATGATTTTTGCAAAGTTCTCCTGGACGTTGGCGATTGAGCGCCAACTGTGACCGAGCTTTATTTTTAGAGCCACACGGTGCCAAAAATGCAGTTTTAGTCCTCCTGCGAAGATAGGGCTCTTGGGTAAGCGACTTCAACTTTAACCCTTCGAATACACTTTTGTAGTGAAGAAGACATGTGCCGAGTCTGACTTCGTGTGCAACAATGGCCAGTGTGTTCCCAACCGATGGCAGTGTGACGGGGATCCTGACTGTGAAGACGGTTCCGACGAAAGCCCAGAGCAGTGCCGTGAGTGTGACTTGCTTTGGACTTGACCTTTTCCAGGCTGTCCTGCGTCTCATAATTCTAAGTACAGCTTAACCTGCTACTCGGTGTTCATTTTTCTTTGCCTGCCTTAAAGTTTTAGGCCAATTGACTCCAAGGTCAGTCAAGTTATTAACAGTTGATCAGTCTCCTTTAAAGAATAAAATCCCTGGTCTAACAAGACTGACATTCTCTTGGGTAGCTTCACTGTTGAATACAAAACACTGAAGCCAGCAGATTTGATTAAGAACTCCTTGACTAGGTGCATAGATTTCAAATGTTTGATAATAATGAATCTGAGCAGATGGTACATTGGTCCTGGAAGCTAAGTCAAGATGTGAGGTTCCCCATAGACCAAATAGAAGTTTTTAGATGCACAGCTTCTCGTATTGTTAAAAATCTATTACTGAGGGGGTAAAGTAGCTAGTATTTGGTGATATAGTGACTTTCAACAAACACGCAACCTATAGTTACTGAAGCAGTGATCTTACAGCTTGTTTTTAAATAAGAGAAACTTCTGAGGTATGCAAATATATACCTGTGTTCTTAGCCTGATACTCGGGCAAAAGTCTGAAACCATACAGGATAATGGTTTTGGATCATATAAATTGAGATTATTTCAATGTCCAGGTAAAGAGAGTCTTGGAGTTCATTTTGAGGGAGGCCTGCTGACACACTGAAAAAGGACTAATGTAAACAAAGTTTAGGTCTGAAATGTGATTATAAAAGAAAATCAAACAGAAAGGAAGATAAGGGTGTTACTTTCAATTTTCTGGACAAGAAGTAAGGGGAGTAATTATACTATTGGTCAAGGCCAGTACATTAAAGACATTCTATAAAGATTCAGCCCCAGGTTTTGGTGGAGGACAAACTGGTAAAGAATCAGGGTATGCCCCTACTTTGCAAAATGTAGATCTAGAGGAGATTGTGAAGGAGGCTTGTGAAGAAATCTAGGCAATGGAAGATTTCGTAAGTGTTCGACCATCTGGCCTTGAATGAAGTTGGAATTAGGTGGCGCTGTGTGAGCGTGCCCACCTGATATCCGAGAGATAAGTAGTGATCTAGGAGCGGGCTGGCCAGTAAACTTGACCATGCCAAGTAAAACAAAAGCCAGAGCCGAGCACACCCTGGGACCTTGAGAAAGTGACCTGGTCAAGGCCCTCAAATGTGCCACCGCGTAGCAGAGGCTGGCGTGGCTTCTGAGGAGTGGAGCTGGCGAAAGAACTCCCCGGGCTTCAGCTAGTACGTTCGCTGTCACCAGTGTGCCAGGCCCTGAGTTGCAGGTGTTCCCACCTCCAGGCAGCCAGCGCAGGAGCAGCAGCTTTGCGTTGATCCGTTTTGAGGCTCTTTTGAGACTGTATATCGCCAACAGATATGAGAACATGCCGCATAAATGAAATCAGCTGTGGCGCCCGTTCCACTCAGTGCATCCCAGTGTCCTGGAGATGTGATGGTGAAAATGATTGTGACAGTGGAGAAGATGAAGAAAACTGTGGTAAGAAGATCAGTGTTGAGTGGCGTACCCCAAAGACCCTTTTCCTCAAGGAAGGGTGGGTAGGGGAAGCTAACCCAAGCATGAAGATGCACTTACATCGACTCACTTTTCAGTGACTTCACTATCTGCTCAATTCCTTGTCCTTCATTAACTGCCCTAAAACTCTGAAAGACATTCACGTGGGAATTGGCCATCACTTGGTGTTTCTTTTAGGCAAATAGAAATAAGGTAAGTCATTCGAGGCGTTCTATTTAAAAGTAGCTCAGTGAAGCCGCAATCGTGTGGACTTTGTTAGGCCCTTTACTCACTTTGGTTCAATAAAACTGGAAGGTGAGCAGGCTCTTGAACACGTTCGTGGGTCTAAACTAGATTGGCTTATTGGAATAAATTCCTTGAGTATCATACAAGCATTTCTTTGCTTCCAAATTAGATTCTCCCATAACCTTTCCAAAAGTTACACTGGCACAGAAGCACGAATTAACGTCTTGCTCGCAGATACCCAAAGAAAAGTCTACCCAATTTGTGATATCTTTGTCTCTCATTACGGTTCTTATCTCTGAAAGCTAACTCCGTTTCCTATTCTTACATGTTTCTGGTCTTGGAAAATCTATAATAAAATACTACATGTCAAAGGTGAGGCCCTGGGAAAATCTCTAGGTTGAGCAAACATTGCTTTGAATCTTCTTTCAAGCTACCGCCCCTTTTATAGAGCCTCTACAACAGGGATCCTCAAACTTTTTAAACGGGGGGCCAGTTCACTGTCCCTCAGACCACTGGAGAGTGTGCACTGTGGGCCCGGGATGAGTTGGCTGCTAAGCAGGACAGGCAGCGGCGGCAAAAACACCGGGAGGGCCGCGCGCCGTAGTTTGAGGACGCCTGCTCTACAACCTACAGCTCCCTGGTCTGACACGTGCAAGCCTCCTGATGTAGTAGTATACAAGGAGCTCAGGGCACTTACAGTTGAAACACTAGTATTGTGTGTAAAAGTCACCTTCTGAGGTCAATACCACTGCACCTAGTCCAATGAGTTTTAGTGTTCGATCCTAGATTTGAACTTTATGTATTGGTAAGCCCCGGAGCTGCCAAGTGTTTCCCTCATAAATCTAGATTTGGCTTCCCAAGAGAGTCGTGGTCTCTATTCTAATTACCACCAAATTGTGACCTTAATATGTTTGGCAGGAATTTAAGTCAACATACAAACTGGCTAGTATGAGTAGCTTATCGTGATTCTAGCCCTGGCAGTGACTTTTAAAAATTGAGTGTTGCAGACGCGTTATTCCTGATCCTCATTTAAAAGACCAGAAGAGAAGGAACCATGTATGGTGGTATGTGGTTCACTTCTTCGTGGTGATGTCTTGAAGCTCGATGTGAGCATGACCTTGCCTGTTTCCATACTGCGTGGTATTCTCAGCCAGTGGTGCGATCTGGCCTGACAAGCAGTATGTTGATTCAAGGATAACTCAGTCTTCTGCCTTCCAAAATGACATCCCCTATTACATTTATTGATCACTGTCCCTGTAGAGTCAATTGTGATTCTCATCTCAAATTTATTTCTAGTCTTCAGCTGTTTTCTCGATCCTTTATTTCTGTTCTTATTCATAGTGTGCCTGCATTGTTTTTATACGACGAGACTGTTTCCTCATATTTCAGGAACTTGTTCTTGATTTAACTCCACGTTAGCTTTTAAGTTAAGCTAGGAAGCTGGGATTAATGATCAGAGATCCTCATATTAGACTTTGGGACAACAGTCTTAAAAGGGCCAGTCCTGATGCACTTTCAGTGGGCATGCTCTCTCTCTCACCAGGCAACATAACATGTAGCCCTGATGAGTTCACTTGCTCCAGCGGCCGCTGCATCTCCAAGAACTTCGTGTGCAATGGCCAGGATGACTGCAGCGACGGCAGCGACGAGCTGGACTGTGCCCCGCCCACCTGCGGCGCCCACGAGTTCCAGTGCAGCACGTCCTCCTGCATCCCCATCAGCTGGGTGTGCGACGACGACGCGGACTGCTCAGACCAGTCGGATGAGTCCCTGGAGCAGTGTGGCCGCCAGCCCGTGACACACACCAGGTGCCCCGCCAGCGAGATCCAGTGCGGCTCTGGCGAGTGCATCCACAAGAAGTGGCGATGCGACGGGGACCCCGACTGCAAGGACGGCAGCGATGAGGTCAACTGTCGTAAGTAGCTCTCTGGTCGGCGTGGCGCGTCCGGCTCTCTTCCTCGGGTCAGCGGGGACAGTTTGGCTGGCGTCGTTCCAACGGGGTGTTCCCTCCTTTCATAGCGTCTCGGACCTGCCGACCCGACCAATTCGAATGTGAGGACGGTAGCTGCATCCACGGCAGCAGGCAGTGCAATGGCATCCGGGACTGTGTGGATGGTTCTGATGAAGTCAACTGCAAAAACGGTAAGGGGCTCTCCTGGGTGGCCGGGCTAGAGGTTGCCCGGGTCAGAACCCACCAATGGAACTTCTCTTCTGTGTTTCTCTTTGTAGTCAACCAATGCCTAGGCCCTGGGAAGTTCAAGTGCAGAAGCGGGGAATGCATAGATATCAGCAAAGTATGCAACCAGGAGCAGGACTGCAGGGACTGGAGCGACGAGCCCCTGAAAGAGTGTCGTAAGTGAAGGGGTTGCTTGAGTACAGAGCGGGGAAGGTTCACACGATCCGACGTAGCTAGTGCCATCCCGACCCTGCATGTTGCCTGGTGAAACTTTTTAATGAACTGAAGTTCAATTACAGAATTAAAAAAATTTTATGACGTAAAAGCCCAGGCAGTGACAAACGAGTTCATGGTTTAAGCTCTTTTAAGATAACCGATCAACAAGAGAGAAACTTGACTACATGCTGGTGGCCAACTGGTAACTTGCCGAGGAGACCATCTACCTTCCAACACAGATCTATAAAACAGGATTAGGTCTAATCAGGGTTTGACCAGGCCAACTAGATAAGTTATCACAAATAAGCCCGAGATTTAAATGTGAAAGACAAATACCAATTGAGAATAGGTTGTCAAGTGACTTTGCTACGTTTTTATTCCAGATATAAACGAATGCTTGGTCAATAACGGTGGATGTTCCCATATCTGCAAAGACCTAGTTATAGGCTACGAGTGCGACTGTGCAGCTGGGTTTGAGCTGATAGATAGGAAAACCTGTGGAGGTGAGTGGAAGAAGAGAGCCGGGGCCCTGCGGGTGAGGGGAGAGGGCAGTGTGTACATCTGGTAAGGTGTAGGAACAGCAAGACTAATTCTAATTTCCCTCCTAGATATTGACGAATGCCAAAATCCAGGAATCTGCAGCCAAATTTGTATCAACTTAAAAGGCGGTTACAAGTGTGAATGTAGTCGTGGCTATCAAATGGATCTTGCCACTGGCGTGTGCAAGGCAGTAGGTAAATGGACTTGGACTGGTGTTGCTCTGGTACCTTTATGAGTAAGTGCTTATGAAAGGTACAGCCAGTGACTACAGTAGTCAAACTAAATAGGAAGTAGTCCTTGAGAGCAATGCTACTAAACTCAGTGCAGTAGCGTAGGTTAAATAGCAAATCTTCCCCCCAAACATCTGCCTTGGGCATTCCTTTTGCATACGATACCATGACCAGGTTTGCTTACTTTCCGCTTCCACAAGTTGAGTGCAATTCAAATAAGTTAACTTCTTTGTCAGCCGCCCTGTCGTTGAATGCTGTAACCCCAGGACTGCTTCCCTAAACGGTGGGAGGCGCTCACAGGTCCCAGGGGCAGGAACTCCGGGAGAGGTACTACTAAGGTGTTCAGCAGTACCTTTACTGTTTAAGTGCTCCTCTGTTCCGAGGAGGTGACTTAGAAGGACCTTGCCTTCTTACAGCAAAACTAAGTAAACCCGACTTCTGTCTTGCAGGCAAAGAGCCCAGTCTAATCTTCACTAATCGAAGAGACATCAGGAAGATTGGGTTAGAGAGGAAAGAATATATCCAACTAGTTGAACAGCTAAGAAACACCGTGGCTCTCGATGCTGACATTGCTGCTCAGAAACTCTTCTGGGCTGATTTAAGCCAAAAGGCCATCTTCAGGTAACTTTCAGTTCCATTCTTGGTGTCTTGACATAAGTCATTGTCACTGGGCCTGTGGGAAGGTTTGAAGGAGCTTCTGGCTCTAGCCCCCATCTGGCATCTAATTACCTGGGAACATTAAATCTAACACTAATTCTTTATTAAATTGCTATCAATTCCTAATTAGACACTAACAATGTGTATGAAGTAATAGATGGTTATAGCTGTAAGACTGTATCATATGATATCTTAATTTCTAATATTTTCTTTCCCTATAGTTAACTGAGAGCTGTACATTGTTGGTACAAATAGAAATGGTAGTGCAGCCTTTTCTTAATGCAAACTATAGAAACTCAGATGATGGCTAATGAAACAAACAGCTTCACTTAGAATTTTATTGTTCTTGTGTATAGAAAGCATATCAGCAACTAGATAACTTACACTATTATTATCATCAGTAAGCAGAAAGTCCCTTGTCCAGGCTCTAATGGTGTCAACCTCTTAAATTTCTTGTGACCTATTCTGTTTCAGTGCCTCAATTGATGACAAGGTTGGTAGACATGTTAAAATGATCGACAATGTCTATAATCCTGCAGCCATTGCTGTTGATTGGGTGTACAAGACCATCTACTGGACTGATGCGGCTTCTAAGACTATTTCAGTAGCTACCCTAGACGGAACCAAGAGGAAGTTCCTGTTTAACTCTGACTTGCGTGAGCCTGCCTCCATAGCCGTGGACCCGTTGTCTGGGTTTGTACTCTGTTTTCCATCACGTAGCCTTTTGTATGTTATCTGCGGAGGTCGGGAACTTTCCTCTTACCTGAATTGGTACTATTGAATGAAATCCCAAGATATATCAGCCCCCCCACTACCAAGAAATTTCTGGTTCAAGATGTCAGTGGGGCCATGGTTGAACAACCCTGGGATGGCCTCGTCTATATGACAGGTCTCCCCTGACTCCTGTACAGCTGACTGCTGGGTGACGTTTACAAAATAACATTTTTTATTTGGTGTATTCCAAAAGCTGTATCTGAACCTTTTGCCCACCCAGTTAATATGCAAGTGATTTTTAATTTTTGTCTGGGTTAGCTCTGATCAAACATTGCAGGGATTTTGGTAACCACATTGCATCTAAAAGTGCAAGTTGTCTGAACGTCCAGTTGAAATAAATAGGCCTTTTTTTTTTTTTTATTTCGGCATATTATGGGGGTACAGATTTTAAGGTTTCAAGAAATGCCATTTCCCCCCCTCTCTCCAAAAGTCTGAGTCTCCATCATGACCATCCCCCAGATGGTGCACATCTCACTCATTATGTATGTATATACCCGCCCCCTCCCACCTGCCCAATACCCTATTACTGTAGTACCTATGTGTCCACTTAGGTGCTACTCAGTTAATACCAGTTTGCTGGAGAATATATCTGGTGCTTGTTTTTCCATTCTTGGGATACTTCACTTAGTAGTATGGGTTCCAGCTCTAACCAGGAAAATAGAAGATGTGCTATATCACCATTGTTTCTTAGAGCTGAATAGTACTCCATGGTATACATATACCACATTTTATTAATCCATTCTTGGATTGATGGGCACTTGGGCTGTTTCCACAGCCTTGCGATTATGAATTGTGCTGCTATAAACATTCGAGTGCAGGTGTCTTTTTTGTAGAGTGTCATTGGATCATTTGGGTAGATGCCCAGCAATGGGATTGCTGGATCAAATGGTAGATTCACTTGTATCGCTTTAAAGTATCTCCATATTGCTTTCCAATAAATAGGCCTTTTTAGAAACACTTACCTGAGGTGTTTTCCCTCAATTGCCATCAAATAACAGGCAGCTTAGGAAGTTAACTAACGCCGTAGTAATCGTAGTTGGCCCCCATTGAAGCCTCGTTAGAACACAATCAGCCAGCCCCTACTATAAAATTTAAAGGGAAGTCATCTTTCACCCCTCAGAAAGAATTGGCCTTTTAAAAAAGAAATATAACCTTGTGAGTAAATTTTAAATGTCAGATGGATATAGATTATTACAGTCAACAATGAGCTTGCAGATTGTTTTAGTGTTAAATTTTATTTACCCGTAATTTAGACCTTCCAGTGTTACTATTTGTCTCTAGAGAATAAATCTCTTGAGTTTTCCGTTCACTCTTTAAACATTTGTTTCAAGCTACAAGTTGTATTCCTTCTAAACCTTTAAGGATTTTTTCTGATTTAATTCTTTCCAGCTTTGTTTACTGGTCCGACTGGGGTGAGCCAGCGAAAATAGAAAAAGCAGGAATGAATGGATTTGATAGACGTCCACTGGTGACAGTAGACATCCAGTGGCCTAATGGGATTACACTTGGTATGTATGTCCTTCCTTCTCGACTACCAATGCGACTGTCTTCATAGTGTTGTAACTTACCTCCACAGTTAATTCCGGGCTGCAGCAGATGATTCTCTGGTTCCTTCTATGGGAGGAATTTGGGATGAGAATGGAATAACACAAGTGGAATTGTAGACTTAAATTTCATGCTCCACAATTATGTGTTTGTTGTCCATTGGACCTGAAATATGTGATAAGAATTCAGTGAATCTTGGGGACTGCCATACTGACTAAATATTCTGAGCACAGGTGCCTTAGCATTTCCTGAATTGCAAGCTTACAAGAGTTTTCTTCTGGCTCTTTGGGGGAGAACAACAAATGGTAGCCTCTTTTAATATTTTCTGTAATGTGAGGGACATTTCTTCAGTCAGTTGCCTTGAGAATCTTAGGCACCCCTTTAGACCCCAGAAATGAATGTAGGTACAGATTCTGCATGCTGCTTCACAAGGTTTGTGGGACCCCTGTTAAGAAACCCTTCTGGAAAAGGAACCATGAAATTAGAATATTGAATTCATCAGATATTTTAAATGGAAGCCAGAGCAGTAATGGCTTATCATACAGTGACAGTTCTTTTCCTACCTAGACCTTATAAAAAGCCGTCTCTATTGGCTTGATTCTAAGCTGCACATGTTATCCAGCGTGGACCTGAATGGCCAAGATCGAAGGATAGTACTGAAGTCTATGGAGTTCCTAGCTCATCCTCTTGCACTAACAATATTCGAGGTAAGATGTGTGCCTCACATCTAAGTGTATACCTGTGAGTAACCACAGCACTTTGGGGAAAAGAACCAGGTGTAGAGAGAAGGAGGGAAGAACAGAGGAGCATGACTTGAGGAACTGCTTTGTCTTAAAACCTGGTACAAATTAGACACTAATTCTTCAAAGCACTTCAAAAAACCTGAACTTGCTTCTTTTGTAGTTTTATATCCGATGTCCTTCCTAGATCAGCATTCAATAAACTTGGTCCATTAAGTGGCCAATAAATAATGATGACCTTAGTTAGATAATGACTTGTGTTAATCCTGGGCATACATGCTGACTCTGGGGGGTTCTGTTTTAGGATCGTGTCTACTGGATAGATGGGGAAAATGAAGCAGTCTATGGTGCCAATAAATTCACTGGATCGGAGCTGGCCACCCTGGTCAACAACCTTAATGATGCTCAAGACATCATCGTCTATCATGAACTTATACAGCCATCAGGTACTGTGGGGAAAGTACAGTCCTTAATCCCCACTTCTCTATTTTTTTTCTTTCCTTTTTTATTTCAGCATATTATGGGGGTACAAATGTTTAGGTTATGTATGTTGCCTTCCCCCCAGAGTCAGAGCTTCAAGCGTGTCCATCCCCCAGATGGTGCACATTGCTCTCAGTATGTATGTATATATCCATCCCCTCCCCCCCTCCCATCTGCCCGACGCCTGATAAAAGTTATTCCTATATGTCCACTGAAGTGTTGATCAGTGAAACCAATTTGCTGGTGAGTACATGTGGTGCTTATTTTTCTATTCTTGTGCTTCCCTCAGTAGAATGGGTTCCATCTCTATCCAGGAAAATACAAGAGGTGCTATATCACCATTGTTTCTTATAGCTGAGTAGTACCCCATGGTATACATATACGACGTTTTATTAATCCACTCATGTATTGATGGGCATTTGGGTTGTTTCCACATCTTTGCAATTGTGAATTGTGCTGCCATAAACATTCAAGTGCAGATGTCTTTTTTATAGAATGTCTTTTGTTCTTTTGGGTAGATGCCCAGTAATGGGATTGCTGGATCAAATGGTAAATCAACTTGTAGCTCTTTAAGGTATCTCCATATTGCTTTGCACAGAGGTTGCACTAGATTGCAGTCCCACCAGCAGTGTAGGAGTGTTCGTATTTCTCTGCATCCACACCAACATTATTTTGGGAATTTTTGATAAAGGCCATTCTCACTGGAGATAAGTGATATCTCATTATGGTTTTGATTTGCATTTCCCTGATGATTAGAGATGTTGAGCATTTTTTCATGTTTGTTGGCCATTATTCTGTCGCCCACTTTTTGATAGGGTTGTTTTTTTCTTGCTGATTTTCCTGAGTTCTAAATAGATTGTTATCAGCCCTTTATCAGATGTGTAGCTTGCGAAAATTTTCTCCCATTCTGTAAGTTGTCTGTTTGCTCTTGTGACAGTTTCTTTGGCTGTGCAGAAGCTTTTAAATTTGATCAGGTCCCATTTATTTATTTTTGTTGATGCTGTGATTGCCTTGGGGGTCTTCATAAATTCTTTGCCTAGGGCAGTGTCTAGAAGGGTATTTCCAATGTTTTCCTCTAGAATTCTAATAGTTGCACTCCTTAGTTAACCCCCACTTCTAAGGGAAGCAGGATGACACAGAGCCTGTTGAGTGGCAGTGGCTCTTTGGCAACTCAGCTTTCTTTAGAATGGAACTTTTGCCCTCGGGTACCCTACCTCAAACACTTCATATTTGGTGTTTCATCTCTTTTATTTCTGGCATCTTAGTGAATTAGCTCCATAACCTCAGTTCCTACCTTTCCCCAACCCCCAGTGTCAGCTTTCATTTCTGTTTCTTCTATGCCCCCTTAGTCTCTTGCTAAGACTATTTGCACTAGCTCCCAAAGCAACTTCTGTTCCACAAACTTTCTCTACTGTTAGTTTGCTAGAGTTGCCCTATCAAAGTACCACAAACTGAGTACCTTAAACAACAGAAATTTATTGTTTCACAGTTCTGGAGGCTGAAAGTCCAAAGTCAAGGTGTTAGAGCCTTCCATCACAGTCTTCAGAGCCGTTTCAGGCATCTCTTGTTGGCTTGTAGTTGTCTATCATAATGCCCACCTTCCCCTCTGACACATCTGGTTATATTGCCTACTGCTCAAAACACCTGGCTGGTCCTGCTTAAGTGCAACCTTCAAACCTCCCTATAGCCGAGTTCCCTTCTACTTTATAGGAACAAGTCAAGACAAAGCCAGAACATGCTTGGTCCTCCTTCCTCTGAGCCTTGGACCATAGTGAGAGCCAATCCTGGTTCCTCACCTCCCTCCCCCACTGCCTCCTTTGGCACCCTTCTGTCGAAGATAGAACTTTTATGTTCTACCTCTAAAAAGCCCCTTCGAATCTGGTATCCTTAGAGCATGTGGCCCATACCTGTTCTTCACGGATATTGCTCTCACTTGAAGATTTGACAGAAGTTTAAGCTCCTTGGAGATGAGGGCTCGTAGCAGGGGGCTCTGGAATACCTATTTTAAAGGACTTTTTTTTCCCCTGACTAGGTAAAAATTGGTGTGAAGAAGACATGGAGAATGGAGGATGTGAATACCTATGCCTGCCGGCACCACAGATTAACGACCACTCTCCAAAATATACCTGTTCCTGTCCCAATGGGTACAATCTCGAGGAAAACGGCCGAGAGTGCCAAAGTAAGGCTTTTTGCATTTCACCCACATGCAACAGGCACTATGATATAAGACATTAGCTACAAAAACTGGCCTGGCTTTTAACTAATCCTTTGAATACATCTGTGAACATACCTGCTGCATGCCAGGTGTTCGTGTTAGTTCTTCAGAAGTGACTTTTAACCTATTTAAACATTGTATAGAGTTTATAGTTGACTTAAGTGTCCAAATACCTCATTACCAATTAGTCCCATAACACCACAAAGTCTTCATGTTTTCCTCCAAGGAAAAACTGAAATCATGCTTAAGGCAGGCCACGGCTATGGGAAACCTCAGCTGAAGACACTAATTTGAGCTCACAGTTGAACCAAATTTGCATTTTAGCCTTCTGTCCTTAGCTTTTGATTAAGTAGCAAATTAAACTTGCTTGTTGTGATCTAGGAACTCATATGGCTTTTATTAGCTTAATTTGGGTCATGGCAGGGACCAGCTCAGTTTATTGAGAAAGTAGTTGCAAGACAGTCTGGAACCATATGTCCCAGAACATCTTGAGAACATTTCTTATGGCTCCCAGGAGACTGGGATATTGTTTAGAGGGGTCATTAAGTGTGGCTGTCCATCTGTTCTGGCCCGAGTTTTACGTTATCTCTATTTTTGTATGAAGACTGCTGTTTTTTTTTTTTCCCCAGCATATTATGGGGGTACAGATTTTAAGGTTTCAATAAATGTCAGCCATACAACTTAGTTCAGCAGTGGTTTGTCTGGACTAAACAGCCACTCTGGAAGGTTGGGATTAACCAGGTGCTTGGTTTTTATAATTCAGGTACTGCAACTACTGTGACTTACAGTGAGACAAAAGATACCAACACAACAGAAATTTCACCAACTAGTGGACTAGCTCCTGGAGGTATTGGGTTCAGTACTGCAAACGGTTAATCTCAACTAACAGCCACACTTTTTGTATCTACTGCTTAAATATAATAATTAATGCAGCCTTTAGCTATTATTAGTTCTGCCCCTGATGGGTAACCTGAAAGTCTTAGCCTGACCTATTAAGGTTTCTGTTAGAAACCTGTCAGTGACATGACTATTTTAGCATGTGACTCAAATACTTCTAAGCCACAGTTGTTTTTGGTATACAATTGTAGTGCATCCTGAACATCAATATTGGGTGCAAAGGTGTGAAGTTCTCCACCTGCTGGGTGAATTCAGATCTTTTTATTCCTCTGTAGGGATCAACGTGACCACAGCAGTATCCGAGGTCAGTGTCCCCCCAAAGGGGACTTCTGCTGCCTGGGCCATTCTTCCTCTCTGTAAGTAGATTCCCTACACATCTCGATTTGATAAACTTCTTAGATGCCAGATGGGCAATTCTTGTTCACCAGCCACCCCTTACACTGTCATAGCACTTGAGAGTCTGAATTACATTCTTTTCATCCCCTACACAGCGCACTAAGTTAACGTGTATGCTTTCCTCTTTGGATGTATCCTTCGCACAATAACTGGCAGTGATAAAGCTTCAATTACATGAAAGGTGTTTATAAAAGGGAATAAGTCAGGCTAATAAAGCCAAGTCAAAACCAATAAAGAGTCCCTTTAGTGTACTGGTCTATTCCCTTTTGAAATATGTGTAATGGCTTCATACAGAGGAGATGCTTAAATGCTTTCCTGAAGAGTTGTAGGATTTGCAGAGAATAGATTAAAAGTAGTTAAGATTCTTTAAACCTAGGGGAAAGTTCCTTTAAAGCTATTATCAGACATCCAAATTCTGAGGGACTTTGCTGTAATGGCTTCTGTCTTAAGTTAGATTTCAAGCTTAGCTAACACACTAGGACCACCTGAGTGGCTCACCAGAAATTTCTGAAATTTTAATTCAGTGGGCCTGGGGTGGGGCCCAGGACTCTACACTTGCCTGGATGGCTGTGGCTAGCCCAGCTCCCATGCATAGGATGATAGAACATGAAATTTTTATTAGTGTCAATTACCATGGAATCCTGATCATCACCTTTTACTAGACCTATGTCACTTACCCTCTAACTTTTCTCAGTGCTCTTAGTGATGGCAGCAGTCGGTGGCTACTTGATGTGGCGGAATTGGCAACACAAGAACATGAAAAGCATGAACTTTGACAATCCTGTGTACTTGAAGACCACTGAAGAGGACCTCTCAATAGACATCGGCAGACACAGTGCTTCTGTCGGACACACATACCCAGCAGTAAGTCCGCTTTGTGTCTTTGCGCACCGTGACCTGGAGTGAGACTTTCTGGAAAGGAGACCACTAACTGGAGGTAGAGCTACCTGGGCTAGGAAGAGCCATTAGGATCATGGGGTCACCAAACACTTCATCTACTACCTGGACATTAAATAGTCTAGCCTGTTAGAATATAAATCAGTCATTTGCTCAGCATCAGACAGAATGGCAAATGGGTCATGGAAATGACATGTAAATATTACCATGAACCAAGTAGCTTCCTTTTGAACTGTTAAATCCATTGCCTACTGGATACTAAAAATGAAATTATATCATAAGTAGGGAATCACATACAGGGGAGTTGGCTTAAAGTCAGTGTATTTAGTAAGAGTCCCTAAATGAAGAAAAACATCTCATCCCACCTTTCAAGCTCTCTGGAAAAGCATGGAATAGTGGGCAATCCAGGGTACACTTGTATCTTTCATGTTTTTCTCTATTCTACTTAATGATCATAAGTCTTAGACGGAATTAGTCACACTGTTTTCTCTCTCTACCAAGCAGGTATAGTTGAATTCAAGTTAAATGCATGAACTTAATATTGTTTTGTATCTGACTTTCCTTATGCGTGCATTAGGGTCTTTGAATGCCAACTAAAATGCAAGGTCCATCTTAGAGACTAGAGTTGCCACCAATGAGTGATCGCCAAGCTCATTTCATATTTTTCCTTTCCACAGATATCAGTTGTAAGCACAGATGATGATCTAGCTTGACTTCTGAGACAAGTCTCGACCTTTGAGGTCTAAATCCATAATATACCCCATTGTCAGAATGGTAACCGAACCAGCAGCTGAAGTCTTTCTTCCTCCCGTCTGGAAGAACATCAAGAAATCTTTGCGTGGATCAAGCTTGTGTACTTGACTGTTTTTATGTTACTTTTGTAAATATTCTTGTCCACATTCTACTTCAGCTTTGGATGTGGTTACCAAGTATCTATAACCCTTGAATTTTTAAACAGTATTGCCACCTCTGGCCAAATATGCACTTTCCCTAGAAAGCCATATTCCAGCAACGAAACTTGTGCTATAGTGTATACCACCTGTACATACATTGTATAGGCCCTCTGTAAATATCCCAGAGAACAATCACTATTCTTAAGCACTTTGAAATATTTCTATGTAAATTATTGTAAACTTTTTCAATAGTTGGGACAATGGCAATAGGATAAAACGGGTTACTAAGATGAAATTGCCAAAAAAAAAAATTTGTAAACTAATTTTGTACTTATAAATGAAATCTTTGACCTCAATGGAGGTTTGCAAAGACTGAGTGTTCAAACTACTGTACATTTTTTTTTCCAAGTGCTAAAAAATTAAACCAAGCAGCTTAACCATGGTTTGTGCCTATTCCTCTAGGATGAACTCCCATAAACAGCCTGGATAGTATCAAGTGTTCTAACTATATATGTGACCTATAGTTCTTGATACACCTATAATTGGGCTAGTTTCTCTTACTAAAAAAATGAAGTCCCATTTAACATTTGTTTCCCCAATATTTCTCATTTTGTAAAAGAAGCTAGCTTAGTCTATTCCTAGAATTCCTCTTGCTTAGAGGATAGTCCCTTTTCTCGTTAACTTGTTTCCTGATCTTAGAGGTATGTGCTAAGATTTCTATGAATTCTGCTTCATATTTAAGTCTGTTTTCCATGTTTTGTCATTCTGTATAGGTCAAGTGCCTTCTAAGGCGTAGGAAAGGGCTTGCTTCTTATAAAGGCCTAGACTGTCTTACCGTGAGGATGAGCGATGCCGTTCTTGAGCATTCTAAGGCAGAGTTCTCACTGTGGTCCCAGGAACAGCAGCATCCACTTCACCTGGGAACTTATTAGACATGCAAGTTCTCAGGTCCCAACCTAGACCTACTGAATCAGAAACCCCGGGAGCAGAGAGGCTGAGGAATCTGTTTTCTTAAGCCCTTCAGCTGATACTGATGTAAACTAAAATTTTAAAGCCACTGTTCTAATGTGACTTTATGGAGAATTATAACATCTCCCGAATTTTTAGTCTGGCAGGGATAGGACAGATTCTTAACAATGGATGATTTGGGGAACGTATGGTATAAAGAACAGATAAGGATTTTGTGTAGAATAAAAAGTAGCACGAGGAGTTGGGTCAGTTTTCTACTAGGTGGCCCTTTCTTTCTCTAAAGTCTCAGGAAGCCTGGAAGCAAAGGGAGACACAAGGCTTGAAGCAATGAGTGCGTGTTCTATGTCCAAAGTGAGGCGCGGGGCATTCACTGCAGAAGGTACAGCGATTCCTCTGGGCTTAAACAACTCACCGACACAGCAAGAGGATGAAGAGATGTTTTTGAGCAGCTGCATGGACCAGTGGCTGACTCGTTTCACTTGCATATGGAATATAAGGCAGTTAACATCTTGCTTGTGGCTTAGGCAAGGAAACCACTAATCCAGATGAAGGGGAAGTTGATTCTATCATCTTGTTTAATGGACCTTCCCCTCTTTGTGATTTTGGTCAAATGAGTGAAACAGAAGAGAGAGGCTTGGACCTTTTTCTCAATGGGAGGCATGGGGTTAAGCCTGGGGAAGGAAAAGGCTGCCGGCGTTAAGGTGGGCTGTCTGCCCTCCAGCTGTCTTCCTGTACACGGTCTGCACACTGAACAGGATGCGGCCAGGGGCCTATTCGGTAAGTAGGTTAGTAATCATCAAACTCGGAAGGCCATTTGTTTGGCTGGTGCTTTGACCCTGCTCTGGGACAAAAAAAAAAAATAATTTTTTTAAAAATTAATACCAAATGCTCATTTAGAAGCTTAAAGTTTGATATCAGTGTTTTTTTCCCATTGCAAGGATTATACAGTATTAATCAACTATAAGGCCCAAAGTCAGTTTTTACAATAAAGCATTATTCTCCTCCATCTTTTGCAGTCCTGAGAGTGTTCTTTTCAGATTCTGGGTACCAGTTTCCAACCCTCAAAGAATCTAAAGGAGGCCGGGCGCGGTGGCTCACGCCTGTAATCCTAGCTCTCTGGGAGGCCGAGGCGGGCGGATTGTTTGAGCTCAGGAGTTCGAAACCAACCTGAGCAAGAGCGAGACCTCGTCTCTACTATAAATAGAAAGAAATTAATTGGCCAACTAATATATATAGAAAAAATTAGCCGGGCATGGTGGCACATGCCTGTAGTCCCAGCTACTTGGGAAGCTGAGGCAGAAGGATTGCTTGAGCCCAGGAGTTTGAGGTTGCTGTGAGCCAGGCTGACGCCACGGCACTCACTCTAGCCTGGGCAACAAAGTGAGACTCTGTCTCAAAAAAAAAAAAAAAAAAGAATCTAAAGCATCTCATTTTTTTTTTTACCTTGTCATCTCTAGTAAAAACCGTGGTACAACTTGCTGTAGTTAAGAGGTATGAACGCATTTGAAGAAAAAAAGTATTTCTATTGAGATCAGAATAGTTACACGGTAAGTGACTGCTCGTCAATTTAGCATGTAATTACAGCTCATGAGGGACTAGAGCCCTCGGCTTTATCATCCAAACAAGGACTTAAAGAATCCTACGTGAAACGTGTTGGTGTGTTTGCTGTCTCTAGAGTTTAATGTAGGAGGAGAGAATTAATTAAGAGGTAAACTGTGAAGCTTATCAAATACTAAATGAGTATGTTTGGACTTAGATGAGCCTGTCACATAAAGTGACAAAGTGGCCCCTCCAGAGACTTTAGGAATTGCCACAAGGATTGATGCTACATGAATAAACAGATTTGTGGTGTCTGGTAAAGAAATCCAGCCAAGTCCCTGAGTTCAAATATTTAAGTGGCTTCTACAAGGTATGTATTTGGCAAAGGTAAAAAAGTTCAACCAGCTCCCTTAAAACATTCTTACATGTATTCCAAAGCCTTGGTGGTGTTTCTGAGTCTTTGGTTCTTGATGAACACAAGGCAAAAAATCGAGGCTTCAACTTTGGTACTTGCTTATATCCTTAGAAGTCAGCCCTTCTCCTCAAAAATGAGAAGCTGGGCTTTAAATAGCAAAACTATAGTATATAAGTGCATTTAAAGCACTAACTCTTCAGTTAAGAGCACTGTAGAGATGAGAGACCTGCTTAAAGTCTACCTTCCAATTATCTTCACCCCAAACCAAAAGATTCTATATATAGGCTTACTCTTACAGTCTAACTGGAATAATTTCTTAGAATTCTTACCTAGTGACACAGTTTATTAATTTTGAACCCAAACAAAAGCTACACTCCTAGCTTTTAATGGCGATGAGACTTGAAAACAGCAGGTACATTTTTTCTGACCTAAGTCCAAGAACAAAGAATACAATCTGCTAATCTTGATCCCTAAATTCGAGCCCTTCAGTTTTATAATGGTTTTAGCCTGATTCTTTGCGACAGTTGACTGTCCATGTTTCAGCCATATCATGGACCTAAACTGCGAGAGTTCAGGAATACATAAAAGTAGAGAAAAAAATCTTCAGGGTACTACTTTAAATGTAGAGGGAATCAATTTGAAGGTGAAACAATGGCATTTTTGGACTTATTTTTCTCAAATCCATCATGGGAGATTTTCAGTTCAGAATAGTTACATGTGAAGCATAATCAGTCATCTCTGTATATATCTCATGCATATCTACTGTCACACATGAAAAGCTGAATACAAGTTAGCAGCAAGGTCCCAGAAATTTGGAGATCTATAGATAAGCTAGTAACAAACTGATAAAAGTAGTGTCCCATCTCTCTATCGTGTCTCCAGCATCTGCTTAGCATTTTTGAGCCTGGTCTGAGAAACAGGAATGAAGTGGGACCACCAGAGTCCTCCTATAAATCTCCCTCCATCCATAGACACTGAGGCAGGAGTAAGACAGGCTGAGGGTAGGGAGTTTGTGCTCTGCAAGTTACCCTGTGACATATCAAAGATGTATTTTTTCCCTTAACTGTGCTTAAGGAAAAGTCATGAGTGGCAAGGTGGTTCTGTTCAGAAGCAGTGGAGTTGACAGCACAGTGTCAGTCTTATATGTGGGACCCCAGGCAAGTTACTAATTGCCTCTGTAAAGTGGAGGTGATAGGGCCTGTCTCACTGGGACATGGTGAGTGTCCAGTGAAACGCACACCAAGAGCTCGGCACAGTGGCAATTGGTGGGCGCACGGCAGACGTCACTACTGAATGTCACTGTCAGTGCTAGGTCTCTGTTTATTGTAGCACAGTCTAGGATCTGGTAAGTGACTTTGTCGGTGAGAGTTATGGGTACCTTTGCTCCCCATAACATGGGTTAGATCCTGACCAAAGTGTTCACTACACCTGTCTAATGAGATCTAAGTCTGAAATTTAGGACATGATAGCACCTTATATAGTTAAGGAGGCTTAAGGGATTACAGGGTTTAAACCTTAGAAACACAGCTGGTATGTTTCTGCCTCAATCTTTTGACTTTACTGCCTAGGACATGGAAACAAATATTTGGGGGCCTACATAGTCTTTGGACGGCTGCCAAAGCACTTTAAATCTTCCTTAAGTACTTAACCATATGCTTGCTTTTGTGCTAAATAAGTGCTCTCAAATCTTTAATTTGATCTTCACAACAACCCTAATAGGTAAGTATTATCTCCATTTTACACATGTAAAATCTGAGGCTGCAAACAATGTGTGATTCCAAATGCTCTGTGCTTACTGCCATCTCCTCTCAGAAGAGGATGCAGGACTGTATAAAGCTTAAGCAGGATGTCATGTTGCATCTTTGCCAGAGTTCCCTTTACTACCAATTTTAGGACGCTTTGGCAGTTTCTCAGGTGTCTCAGATGCCCATTATGGCTGTGTATGGGAAGTATACCTCTAGCACTGCTACATCGGGGCAGCACAGAATAACTGCTACTTATGTGTCATGCCTTCACGATGCTAGACATTCCAAAATTATTTTGCTTGGCCATCCAAGTGAAGTAGCAGTAGCTTATTCAACTGCAAAGATAAAGATTCCCTAAAAGAACTTATAGACAGGCAACATCATTCCTGTGTATAAGATATGGGGGGGGGGTAAATAAGCTGTAACATAATAAATCTTAGGTTTCAAGGCTCTCATATAGGGAGAGACATGACCAAGACGATAGGAAGAACTGTGGCTTGCCCATTGAATGACGGTGCTGTAACTCTAGGATTGGATCTTAGGTATTCTGGAATCTGTGCCTGAAACCTGGATATTTTTCAACTTATACACATGCACAAGGGGAAATGAATTTTTAAGCAGCACGACTGGCTTTGACAAAACTATATTGCCCCCTTTAAATGTCACTTGATACTAAAGTGTGATTTAAGAACATGTAATACCTTGGGAGTCCAGTGCGTACAACCAAATTATGCTCGGCATCTTGAAAATTCTAAAGGCACATGTTGGGACACATCTAGTCCTGCTGACCTGTAGATAAACATTTTTCTTTTATTAATGAACTGTACATTGAACTTAAATAAAAGTTTATTTTTGAGATAATTATTGTGGGTCTTTCCTTTTTCTAGAGATGTTTAAAAGCTTTTACTCAAATTTTTCTCCTTCTCTCAACTGACTCATTGAAGGTGACTGTCACCCCTTTCTGAGAAACAGAAGGGCCACTGAGGTCTGGACTCTTCAGGCTGTAAGAGAGATATCTCCTTTCCTGCCATTCTTAGAAGGACAATTAGTGCCTCACCATAGGCACATAGTATGTCACCTTCTCAAACTGTTCCTTTCTAACCTGTCCATGAAAGGAGCAAAAGTCAAAGCTGCTATTACCCAGGAATGTTAGGTTAGCCCAGAGCTCCTTCCCTGTGGGTGACTGAGAACAGGCACTATCTGGCTACAAGGAGGGTGCCCCAGGGTGGCAGTCCAAGACAGGCCTTGACAAGCAGGTAAAATCATTTTTATGCTATTCCTTCATCAGATCTTACATGGGCTGTGTTGAAATTCACTTAGGGTAAGGCTAATAATCTTTGTAAGCCTTAGAAATATTCCAACTGAAACTTTCCCAAGCAGTGCCCCACCCCCCAGTTGTTTGACTTACATTGGGTGCTAAACCTTGAAATTGACTTGGAGGATCTAAAAGAATAGTGGGAGAAAAAAGTAAAATAAGTAAATTGAAAGAGAAACTGTCAAAAATCTTCAACAGTGAATCCTTAATGAGTGAGATACTGTGTTTTGCTAGAGATGTCAATCTCACCAGCTTTGCAGTGAGATAGAAGTTTGCATGTTCTTCCACTACTTAATCAGCTATGGCCACTGGCACGTTGCTTACAATCCAAGCCAGTTTCTTTCCTCTCCTGAAAAATCACACCACCTACCTTCATAGGGTTTTCGTAAGAAAGGCAACATATATAGCTTCACTCAAATAACTCCTGCTCTTTCTCTCGCACCAAAAAAAATGACAATTTATATATTTTTTAAAAAGTTAAAATCCTTTATGTCCATTTGGGATCTGATTTTTTATCTGCACTGTTGTATTAAAGTCTCACTTGCAAGTGTTCTTGTTAAATGTCCCTTTAAAAAGCTAGCATTTGAAGATTTTTTTTTTTATTCCAAAAAAGTCAAGAAGATTAATGGTCCTGCACCTGTTAGCTTTGCAGAGAACATCATGTGTGACCCTCTGCTGATTAGAGAGCACAGGTGACCAATTATTCAGAAAAGTCTTTTTAATCAGCGGGAGAAGACAGGTAAACTTTACACCCCTCAACAAAGCACAGCACACTGTTCGGATTTATCAGGCTCAGCAAATGTCATTGGCCTGTCATCTAGGAAATGTTGGAGAATGCTAAATTTCAAGTCTGAACATTTAATGCTAGAGTGTCCAATTCAAACACAGTTCTTGCCTACTAGCTGAGGGCAGAGAGTACATTTTAAACCTTTAGTCGTCGTTTATGTTTTCTTAAATTTTCCCATCTACACGCAAGATTTACTGAGGATTAGTTCTTTAAAGCTGAAGGCAAATTTGCCTTTTGGCCTCACCCCAAACACATAGCCCCGTGGTTGCCTAAAAAGGATTTTTAAATGCTGGAGGATGGTTTTAGATAACCAGAGAGCAATTGGCATTCCTCCTCGGACTGCAGGGGACTCACAAGTAACCAGTTTCTGAAAGGTTCCAGGACAGTTCTATAATTGACACATCCTAGGTTGAACATTAGCTAGGGGGAAGGGCAAACATTTCTTGAATTTGTAATGAAACTGAGGAAGATCATGTGGATTCGCCCCGTCAGAAGGCCTCTCTCCACACAGACCCACGCGCTCTGTGGGTCTTCACTCACTCGGTCAGCACCTCCTGTGAGCCAGACACGGTCCTGGAGTCTGTGGAGCCAGTGAGAACATGGCTGGCCAAGGCCCCATCCTTCACCGTGCTCATCCTAGCCAGGAGTCAGGCAGTGATACAAGCTGTGACGATAGATAGGACAAGGAACAGAGGACAATAGCATGTGCTATTTTAGATGAGGCAGAAGCCCTGGAGGAATCACTGGGGGCACAGCCAAGACATGAGTTCTAAGGCAGGCGTGTGCTTGATTCATCTAAGGCAGGGGTCCTCAAACTTTTTAAACATGGGGCCAGTTCACTGTCCCTCAGACCGTTGGAGGGCCGTTGGAGAGTGCGGTGCACATTCCACACATGCGCACTGTGGGCCCCGGATGAGTCGGCTGCTAAGCAGGACAGGGGCAAAAACACCTGGCGGGCCGCAAGTGGCCCACAGGCCGTGCGTAGATTGAGGACCTCTGATCTAAGGAAAAGCAAGGAGGCCTCCTAGCTGGTAGCAGAGGCAGAATAGGAGGAGAGAAGGGAGCAAGGATGAGTGATGTAGATTTCACAGGCCATGTTGGGGCTCAGGATTTTCTTTTTCATGATGGGACAATTTTAGAGGGCTTGGGGCAATGGAATGATCTCTGATTTTAAAAGGCTCACACTGGCTGCTTTGTTTAGAATAGACTCCTGGGAGGCGAGGGCAAAAACAGGGAGATAAGTTAGGAGACTCTGGCAGTAGTCCAAGCAGATGGCCAGGGCTTAGGCTGGGCTGGTGGGGTGGATGAAGGCTCCACTCTGCATTCAGCCCATTGCATGGTGGGTATGTGCATAGGCTGTCTGCCTGGCGGGGTGAATGTGGGACGAGAGATGGTACCCTCATCCAGTAGCATCTCACTGGTCCCCATCTCAGCTGTGCCCTCTGCCTGTGAGAAATCAGTTTGGCTGCCCACTCTCCCCCAAAATGGGCAGGAGTGACAGGCCCAACCCCAGCTTGGGTGGAAAAACTCTGTGAGGCTGCACGGAAACTAAGAGGAAAGCCATGCTTCTCTTTCCTAACCAAAAGAAGTCAGAACTTAGAAGGAAAGAAGCGCCTAAAGCATAAATCCTAGTTCACAAAAGTACAAGGGCTTCCCCCATTCATATCAAGTTCTTTCCTCCCTTCAAGATAAAGGCCTTCCGGGAACACATTTTGGCAGAATTTTTTTTGGTATGGAATCCTGTGCTAATGGTCTCTGGAAGAATGATTTTATGAATGGCACAATTTTTTTAATGTAATAGCTTTAGACAGTGTCCTGTACATTTTGCCTATCCAACTGCTTTGTTTTCCCTGTTACTATCCTTGTCCCTACAGGCATTGGAAAACTATGAAAACTATTTTCTCTAAGAAATTTTAAAACCCTGGTATTTCTGAGTTAAAAGGGCCCCAAGGTCACTGAGTCTGACACCTGTCTTACTGAGGAGGTGACAGGTCCCTGTGGAGGAAGAAGAAAATCGCTGCCTATGGTCACCCAGTAAGGAGACCCCGTTCACCAGACAGTGCCTTAATTCACCCACAAGTAACAATGACTCTCATAGTAAGCCTATAAATTCAACAACAGCTTGTGATCCTCTAGCATTGAAAACAGAAATGGATACTGTTTTGGAAAACAAAGCCTCCTAAGACCCAAAATTTGAGAAAAGGATTTTTTGTGGGTTAGGAAGTGAGGTGTGTCTCAGCACTGCATCCCTGCATGTCACAGAATGGAGCCAAACATTCACAAACAGCTTATGAAACAGAAAGCAGCCTCTGCCCAGTCACCAGCCCCAATATTCCTGTTTCCATTCAGAGAAGGCGGCTAACCGCCTATGCCTCAGGATCCGTTAGGTTCCAGAAAGGACTATGCTGAGAACAGAGATCATTTTGCTGTTCTAACTTCCCAGCACTCTGTGAACTGTCCCATTACGACACAGATAAGATTTCAATGGGCCTACCTAGTAGTTCCAATTCGCCAAAGTGCCACACCCACTCGTATGCAATCTCAAGTCCCCTTAGATATCTGGTGAAATTTGAGTGGAAAAAAGATGATTTATAATCAAAACTAAATGTAGCTTCTTTTACCTTGGCAGGAGGGCTGGGAACGTCCCTGGGAAAGGAAATTTCTGTATCACTGTGAGGGGAGGAAAATCTTTAGATTTGCCAAAGGAGGTCCTGAGCCGAGTTTGGGACATAGGCTACAGATGGCTGAGTTGCCCCTACCCTACAGAGGGAGGAAATCAGGTCCGGGTAGGGAAGTCATTGTGAAGCAGCAAGGTGAAGAAAAGGGCAGAAGGAGCCACATGGTATACCATGGATTCTGGGAGCTCTAGGTGACAAGCCACAGGGACATCTAATACCCAATTTTGAATTGCTTACGTTTTCTGCACCGTAAACCCCTTCACCGCCCAGTCCTTCAGTAGAGTCTGTGGCACACGCTAACACCTTGTATTGAGTGGCTTTTGATAAAACTCACAGAAAGGAGCCCAGCCCTAGACCTGGGTTGACATGGCAGCAGAACAGAGAAGGGACTTACAGAACCACCCATTCACTGAACTAATTCAGTCACTGCAGTAAGCACCCCCGGGACTCTTAGAATTCTTTGGCTGGGACACTAGTCTCTCTACAGGATGTGGAATGAAAGTTCAAGCCCATATCATCTGGAGCTTAAAGGGCAGAGTGGTGTCATGGTAATTAAATTAGGTGGGATCAGGTGGCTTTTAGATGCTACGCAGCCAGCATTTTGCTAGTCAGTGCACAGAACTTACTACAGCAATGGCCTGTAGGAACTTGGAATATTTCAAACTACGGAATCATCTTTTCCAAAGTGCAAATATGGCCATGTCACTCCCCATCTTAGATGACTTCTTATTGCCCAAAAAATGGAGGCCAAGGCCTTTGGGCTCAAGTTCAAGACCACCATGACCTGACTCCAGTCCTCCTATGTCCTGCAGTTCTCCAGCCCAACTCAATACTCTGGTAATGCTCATCTGGTTGTAATCCCTCTCCCTTCCTCTCCCTCATGCTGCTGTATCCCAACACCAGCTGAACCCATGCTCCTCTCTTCCCTCTGCCTGGATAGCCCCTCTCAGCTTTCCTCACCTGGCTCTTACTCTTCTCCAAGTCTTGGCTCAGATGTCACCTCTTCCAGGAAGCCTTGCTCATTGCTCCAATTTGGATCATCTGTCTTTTTTCTACCCAACATGTAATTCTATAATAACATGTATTAATATATCCTTATGCTGACATCATCTATTAGTGTATGTAGCTTCCTGACTGCATGAAAACACAAGCTTTTTTAAGAATTTAGTCTCAGTAATCTTTGTGCACCCAGCACATAGCACAAAGCTGGGTGCTTTTAAGTGTTCAGATACTGATTGCTAAACTAAGCAGACCCCATGAATGCAAGCCATAGTTTATTTAGTAAATAAGCATCCCAGAGTCTAGGCTTCCAACTGAGCATTGTCCCTGGAAAAACATTTTCACGAGAGGTTGTCTGCCTAGCCTAGTGATGTCCTACGCCCCACACGAGTTGAAGGTCCCTTTGTGAATTTATGTTCAGAAACCATAAAACTGACTTTTGCATATATACGGTTAAAGCAAATCTTACATCCTTCAAGGTAGACTTACTATTTTGAAACTGAAAAAAACATTGAGTTTTTCCTCAGGGAACATAGTAATTTGTCTTGCTGGTTAATGTCACTTTGGGACCCTTCATGGCGGTCCCTCATGAGAAAGTCTTATAGGACATACTTACAACCAATAGCATCATCTTTGAAATAAACACATAATCAGCCAAGGAATT